AATTAAAGATGAATTAGGAATTTTAATAATTTCTTTCTTTCACAAGTTCTTACCCAGAGTTAGATCTAAGACTGGAGATTTTAGTGGCATATGCTAGATGATAATAAGATTTCTTTGCTGGTTTAAGACAACTGATAGACTAGTACTGTTTTACCAAATCAAGTTGCTGGGGAACTTCCTCTAATAATAAACAATTGTGCAAACAGAAACACAGGATAAGTGTTGTTTGTTACTGTAGGGGAACTGGACTGGGTCTGACTAATACGCATCTAAGTTTGCAACCCTAAGAAAAAACAGGATTTAAGGATCCCCGTCCCTCCGCCTAAAAATGTAATGAGGCATTGTTTGTTTTTTTGTACGGCATCGCTATTGCATAAAAAAATAATTTCCGAACAATAACCCATACCTTGCTCTCTTTTTTTCTTTTTTTTTTCAATGGAACAAAATGGAACAAAATATATTTTATTTTGATGCAACAATGGTATATTAGAAATACAACACATTAAAATTAATAACGATGTCAATATTAATGAACAAAAACACACAAAAAATGAGTAATTTTCTAACAATAATACTAAAACAAACAAAAATGCCCGTTACATGAATCAATAAAATTCCAAGTGCCAATGCAACACGTCTAGGACAACGAAAAGAAAATATAGGTGACAAAAAATAAATATCTTGCGGACTTGACAGACAACTCTTACATTTGTACCAATAATAATTCTAAATCCCAAAAAATCATGCAATTTACAACATACATTATAGCACTTTGTATATACGAATATAATACAGTAGGCATTACCAACCAATAAAATTACTTCAAATGTAATAACCAATATAAAACAATTTGCACATTGTGTATGAATAACATTATAACAAACAATGTACTTTACTGTTTCATAGCAAAAATGTCACAATGAACAACAATAACAAAGTTTCACATACTTTACACAACAATAATAAATTTCTACATAATGTACAAATAACATACTATGTTGATTGTGATATAAAAAATCACACTATAAATACCCTGGTACAACAATAATAAACTTTTACATCCTGAACAAAACAATAATAAACTTTCACATTACGGTATGTACAGATAACAACATACCATATTGTGATATAAAAAATATCACACTTTATAGCAATACTTATCTTAGTCATTATATACAGATAACAACATATATTGTGGTTAACAAATATCACAATATACAACAATGATAAACTTTTACATTATGTACAAATAACAACATACGATATTGTGGTATAAAAATATCACATTGTAAAAATAACACTGTTGTATGAAATATAAAAAATGAACTTGAAATATGGGCCTATTGGGCATATACATGTAATAACAAATATAGAATATAATCCTGACTATTGTGATGTATAAAATACTTCCCAGGCCAAAAGGTCTTTCCTGTTGGGTATTGCACAACCATAGCCTAGTACCGCATTTCTTACAACCTTTCTGGTCCTGGTATTCAGATAACTTGCAAGTTCTACCACTCGTCTACCCTTTGACCTGGTTAAAAAGTTATTGGCGTATTTGTGATCACTATTACTGGAAGGATCCTCATCGGACGTCGGTGTCGGCTCATCAGTAAAATTGCTAGTAAGCTTAGTAGGGGCCTTAGTATAAGCCAGTGTCTCTTCAATGTGTGAACAAGTGTCACTTTGTTGCGTCGCATAGTTGTGGTCTAGCAGTTGATATTGGACATCGTTGTTGTTATTATTGTCACTTAATGCGTTTAGTTTACATTTAAAACGGCAGATTTTACGTCGGGCTTGCATGTCGGCCATCACTGCCAGACGTTGTTTACATCGTTACGACAGCTTTTTTTGTCCACACTTTCGCAATTGGAGATTTTCAACACAAGGGACACAACTCTGTAGTTGAAACTTTATTCAAACAAAATCTATTTAAGGGAAGATAACAACATTGTCGAAATGTTATCAGGGGCAGGTGACTCTTTTAACACTGAAAAACGACAGTGGAATTCTTTAGTGTTTTGCTCTGGCTGGGACGGAGATCCTTAAGTCAGTATTTTATTTGTATGTTCCATTTTTTTATATTCTTAGTCTTATGGTACCAGTAATAATTCTAAATCCCAAAAAATCATGCAATTTACAACATACAGGTCAAAGGGCAGTCACTATAGTTAGTGTATAAACAGGTCAAAGGGCAGTTGCAACAGTTAGTGTATACACAGGTCAAAGGGTTGTCACTATAGTTAATGTATACAAAGGTCAAAGGGCAGTCACTATAGTTAGTTTATAAACAGGTCAAAGGGCATTTGCAATAGTTAGTGTATAAGCAGGTAAAAGGGCAGTCACTATACTTAATGTATACACAGGTCAAGGGGCAGTCACTATAGTTAATGTATATATACAGGTCAAAGGACAATTGCTATGGCTAATGTATAAATAGATTATAGTTCAGAGGGTATTTGCTATGGTTGATATTAAAGAATCAAAGGGCAGTTACTGTATGCACAGCTCAGATGGCAGTTGCTATAATTAGTGTATAAATGGGTCAAAGGGTAATTGCTATAGTTATAATGTATAAACAGTTCAGAAGGCAGTTGCTATACCTACTGAACCAGTATGAACAGGTCAGACAGAATGTGTTTACAAATTACAGAGGAATTGGTACAACAGAACTGGATGTCAGACAGTCAGTGTTGTGTTAACATAATGGCAGACAGGAAAGGAGGAATCGGTGTATTTAAAGTTCCAGAGGAACGAAGTGGAGCTGTTGGAGCCTGTGTTTTGAATACTAAGTGTGTTGAATTGATTTAAGGACCTTCTGTAATTGTACACTACATGCTCATCAATAGCAATCCGGCACTACAGGGTTAACCACATTTCCATTTCGTCTGAATTAATTTCTTTGAAGATACAAAAGTCAATGATTTCATTTGGGTATTGGTTTTAAAGTCTGCAAACATGAAGAGGAATCTTTTGTTTTGCTTGCCTTTGGCTATACATTGTATGTATATGAACATCGTTTATAGACATGCATTGCAGACATATGATGATTGCATTGCAGACAGCAAAAACTAGAAAACAGCCTATTGGATTTTATAGAGTGTTCAAAGACACTATAGACGATGAGTGACGTGCTGCAAGAGTCAATCAACAAAAGGCCTACGTTATAGGCGAGCTTTGGTTTGGTCAGGAGGCTTGTCAGCCTGACACGGCCAGAACTGGGAGCTCAGTCTAACAGACACTGTCGAGTGCCTTACCAATGGTACAAACCATATCCCCTATGTACAGTCATTTTAAGTTTATCATAGCAAATATCTTGTTAAAAAAAAATGCACACACAATTAGAAAGAATTTTATCAACAAACTCGGCCCAGTAAGCTTAGCAGACTTTAAACAGATAAGAGTATACAATAACCCGGAAGATTTTCCTCTCAATGTTCTTTGACACATGGTTTTCTGATGGCCATCAGGCATCTCGGAGGAATTGCTGTAAATTTTCCAGAATGGGATCTGTTACAAACACCTCACTACATTTCCTACTACAATATGTAAATAGACGATATAAAGTCTTGTAGACCTAGCTCTGATTTATCTTTCATGGAGACAGATATTGATCAACCCTATTGAGATGATTATCTAGAGTTGATAGAAGAGACATGGGAATATACATGGATTTGGTCAAAACGAAAACTAAATATTTTGTATACTAAATTACTTGATACTGTCTACAGTAATTTATCTTACTGAACATTTTACTCTTATCACCATCACATACAAGATGATACTAAATGTTTTGTGTCTAAGTTATTATTTTTAGATCAACTGGCCCAATGGACCAAGTGAGCTAACTGATATATCACTGCCCTCCTTACACTACCTCAGTGTCACTGCCGTCCATCCTCTGTTTACTTCTTTAAAATTATGTTGCTAACTTTACATCTTTCTGTCCTTCTTTGAAAAGTAATGTTAGTAGCATTATAATCACAATAACCAAGTATTTACATGTCATTTGCCATAGGTTTATGATAATTGGCAAAATATGACCTTGACTTACTGTCAGTAGCTTGCTGGTATGGAGTGCTAGACATTCACAATGAGAAATGGCTCAATTGATTTGTCTTATATCCAAGTTCAAAATTTTTAAAATACTTAAATGACATCTTCTGAAGAACAGAAAGGTCTAGAGTAATGATATTTAGCTAGTGACTTGACAATGTGACAGGGTTTTAATTTGTTAAAACACTCGGATGACTTCTTCTAGAAAACCACAATGTCTAGGGTAATGATTTTTGATTTGTAACTTGCTGGAGCAGAGCAGAATGACATTGTCTTATATTCAAGGTCACAGAGGTCAAATATGTTAATGTATCTAGCTATTACAAGTTCCTTCTTCTAAGTAAGAAAAAGGTCTAATATGGTCATGATATATGGCCAGAAGCATGCTGGTAGAAAGGCTATAAAGTTTGTTAAAATCAATTACCTTGACCAACATTTAAAGAAGTCAAATATGTTCAAACCTTCAAGGAACTTGTTCTAAATATCAATACTGCTCAGAGTAATAAAAGTGTTCCTTATAGCTTGTTGGAATATAGGGCTAATAACTTTGTTTTAATAAATTATCTGAACTTGTTTTATAGGTCAAAAGGGTCAAATGTATTAAAATCATGAAACAATTTCTAAAGAATCATGATGTCTAAAGTAATATCTTTATCATGTAACTTAATGCAGTGAATGGCTATCATGTTTGTATAAATAAAAGACCTTGACCTACTTAGGATTGGGGTTAAACCATGTTGAATCAATGTGGACAATTGACCACAGACGTTGAAATGATGTTGAATCGATATGGACAATTGACCACAGACCTTGAAATGATGTTGAATCAATGTGGACGATTCAGTTATGACCTACCATTTCTTTATCTGTTGAATGTACAAACTAAACATTTCTCTATTCTAACTTTTGTGATTAAGCATCTATACAAAACTCATCTATTTCAGCATCTGCCAATAGGTTGAAGCTGCTGCTGAGCTTTGCTGTGGGAGGTCTGTTGGGGGATGTGTTTCTCCATCTATTACCTGAGGCCTGGGAACATCTTGACAAAGGTAAAAACTAAAGCTGCTTACAGAGATGTGGAAATGAGTTGTGTAGCAGTTCAATTGTGACGATGATCATTTTTTGGTAAAATAGCTAAATTCGGAAAAATGATATATTGTTGCTCATATTAGAATCATTTTTAATGTTGCACAAGAAAGTGATGGGATGCTTTTGGACTTAAATTTAGTTTATAAAATTCTGCTCAACAAAAAATTATCATATTCTCAATGACAAGCTAGTTTTGTAAAATCCCACTTTATAAAAAGTTGTCCAATTCTCAATAACAGTATACATGTCAATTCAGAATATGGATATATCTGCACAGTTTTGAAATGTACTAGAATGTTTTTGTATGGTATTTGCAGTGATAATATATTGCTGCCCCTTCTGGTGCGTAAAAAAGGAAACTGTTTGTACTACATTGATGACTAACATGCACCATTGATTTAATTTGTCCCCAATTTGATATCCTGTGCAGTGAATAAATGGCATGACATTTTGAAACATTACACCATTGTCAAATAATCAATTATTGTGTTAGTGTAGCAGGGAGCTCTGATGGGAAGTTATCTGATAGTAACACATAGATGTATGTAACACTTATTCCACCAATCAGCCATGTAAATGCTTGCATTATTTTATGGCAGAGTCTGCATGTATATAATTGTGTTTTTACATGTAGAGTTTAATTGTCCTCAAGTATCTACATGTTGTTATGCCCCCACCATAAAATGGGGGGGGGGGGCATATAGTGTTGTCCATGTCCATCCCGTACCATCCCGTCCCGTCCCGTACCATCCCGTCCCGTCCCGTACCATCCCGTCCTGTCACGTCCCGTCCCGTACCGTCCTGTCCCGTACCGTCCTGTCCCATCCATGAGCGGGGGCATTTATGTCTTGCAGACATTTTCTAGCTTTAAAAGAAGGTTTACTTTCCATCTTTCAGACAAATATACAGATTCTTATGTTTGTTATAGAAAGCTGTAATACTAAGTAACTTGTGTCACCAGTGTGCGAACATATGCATGAGCTAATATACCTAGGTTAAAGTCATTAAATTTAATAGTGCCATAATGAACTTATCATGTTGGAAAAATGTTATGAATGGTTGTCTAAATTTATAAAGGTAAAGTCCACTGTTTGCATCCCTCGAGGATTGTAAAGGGGAGATAATCAGATACCTACTTAATGTTTACCTTCACACAGAGGGACACAACCATGATGGACACATGAAGGTCGGCCTCTGGGTCCTGGGAGGTATCATCTCATTCCTCGTCATAGAAAAAATATTTGCAAAGGAAGGAGAATTTGACCATGTAAGTTTCTTGAGATCTTGTCACATTTTGCAAGTTATGCTGTTTAAATAAAAGAATAGCTTGAGCTTTTTTTGACTTTTGATGAAACAGGCAAATCCAGGTAAAGGACTTCGAAATGACTGAATTTCATAGACAATTTTGTGCAGAAAAAAGGGAACTCTGTCCTGAAATAAATTGGATGGATAATAGGACAACCAGATTGGTGGTGGCCATATTAATGAAGCTCAACTATAAAATGTATGTCCCCATCCCAAAATGAATATACTATGTCAGGTATTGACTTAGGTAAATATCAGTAAATATTGTATATAGAATATATCTCTCTTTGTACAGTACATATATACTGGGTATATTTTATAAAGAATGTTTGTAGGTTCTCCATTCAATATCTAACATTTTTCCTAAGTAAACCTACAACGACAATTTACAACTGTTACTTTTCCTTTTGACAGATAGGAGATGAAGATGAGACAGAATCAGATTCGTCATTAAAGGAGCCAAAAAATACGAACAGTACAGATTCTCTACGACAGAGGGAAACAAAAGACAACTCTAAAAAAACAGAAACCACAGATAAATCTTCCAATAATCCTCCAGTATCACAGCCCATAAAAGTAAGTTGTGTAATATATTCAATATAAAACTCATTAAAAATTGTACCATTAAGATCGTTGTGAAAAACCAACAGTATCATGTACATTTAATCTAGAATGTTTAATTACTGAACTTGGAGACAGGTTGTACAGGGTTTCAACATCTTATCAACAGCTGAGGCCATTTAAGGACATGCCAGTACCATTAGTGTTGTTTAAACATGCATGTGTAGCTGGAAATGTGGAGACGGGACATTGTGTTACGTCATTGTGACGTGAGAATTAAAGCAATGGACATAACATCAAGATGGTGATGTTGAAGACTTCACATCGGTCAGAGAAACTTGCTTTTTTTATCACATATACTCACATGTATGCCTGGCATTGTGATAAAAGGAATCTTTAGTTAAATTTGTTTGAAATGAAATAGAAAGTCCTTGAAGACCTTATATGTGCTGTGTTTTAACGTATTATAAAGCTGTACTGTACCCAAGGTAATGGAGACCTTATATGTACTGTGTTTTAACGTATTATAAAGCAGTACTGTACCCAAGGTAATGAAGACCTTATATGTGCTGTGTTTTAACATATTATAAAGCTGTACTGTACCGAAGGTAATGAAGACCTTATATGTACTGTGTTTTAATGTATTATAAAGTTGCACTGTACCCAAGGTAATGAAGACCTTATATGTACAGTGTTTTAACGTATTATAAAGTTGTACTGTACCCAAGGTAATAAAGACCTTATATGTACTGTGTTTTAACGTATTATAAAGCTGTACTGTACCCAAGGTAATGGAGTCCTTATATGTACTGTGTTTTAACGTATTATAAAGTTGTACTGTACCCAAATTAATGAAGACCTTATATGTACTGTGTTTTAACGTATTATAAAGCAGTACTGTACCCAAGGTAATGAAGACCTTATATGTGCTGTGTTTTAACATATTATAAAGCTGTACTGTACCCAAGGTAATGGAGACCTTATATGTACTGTGTTTTAACGTATTATAAAGCAGTACTGTACCCAAGGTAATGAAGACCTTATATGTGCTGTGTTTTAACATATTATAAAGCTGTACTGTACCCAAGGTAATGGAGACCTTATATGTACTGTGTTTTAACGTATTATAAAGTTGTACTGTACCCAAGGTAATGAAGAACTTATATGTACTGTGTTTTAACGTATTATAAAGTTGTACTGTACCCAAATTAATGAAGACCTTATATTTACTGTGTTTTAACGTATTATAAAGCTGTACTGTACCCAAGGAAATGAAGACCTTATATGTACTGTGTTTTAATGTATTATAAAGCTGCACTGTACCCAAGGTATGTACTGTGTTTTAACGTATTATAAAGTTGTACTGTACCCAAGGTAATGAAGAACTTATATGTACTGTGTTTTAACGTATTATAAAGCAGTACTGTACCCAAGGTAATGGAGACCTTATATGTACTGTGTTTTAACGTATTATAAAGCAGTACTGTACCCAAGGTAATGAAGACCTTATACGTACTGTGTTTTAATGTATTATAAAGCTGTACTGTACCCAAGGTATGTACTGTGTTTTAATGTATTATAAAGCTGCACTGTACCCAAGGTATGTACTGTGTTTTAACGTATTATAAAGTTGTACTGTACCCAAGGTAATAAAGACCTTATATGTACTGTGTTTTAACGTATTATAAAGCAGTACTGTACCCAAGGTAATGGAGACCTTATATGTACTGTGTTTTAACGTATTATAAAGCAGTACTGTACCCAAGGTAATGGAGACCTTATATGTACTGTGTTTTAACGTATTATAAAGCTGTACTGTACCCACGGTAATGAAGACCTTATATGTACTGTGTTTTAATGTATTATAAAGCTGTACTGTACCCAAGGTATGTACTGTGTTTTAACGTATTATAAAGCTGTACTGTACCCAAGGTAATGAAGACCTTATATGTACTGTGTTTTAACGTATAATATAGCAGTACTGTACCCAAGGTTGAATTTTGGTTCATGACCTTTTTGTCCACAAGAAATTTACAGATTGTTCCAGCCTGTCCTTTTCACTTATTTGATCATAGTTGTAACCTGTGTCTCATTAAGTATACAAAATTGATGGAGTTGATGTAATACATTGACATCATGTACAGAATTTGTTTAGGTTGCAGAAACTTTCTGATTTCAAATTAACAAATTTAATAAATGTGAACTGTTATATGTTCATGTAGCTGTTACAGTATTGTATTTATCATTAGTAAGTTGTTACCATTTTATCATGCTTTATACATTTCAGGTCAGTGGATATCTAAATTTGCTAGCCAATGTTATAGACAATTTCACACATGGTCTGGCTATAGGAGGGAGTTTCGTTGTAAGCAATAAGGTAAGTTACCTATACTGTTTAGTGTATATAGACATGTTCAGAAGTTCTCAAAAAAGTTACCATTACATTCAAATTTAAAGGGTTTTATAGAAATCAGATAGAATGGTAAAATAAGATTTTTTTTTTTTTTGCATGGTTGACCAATTAACTTTAAAAAATAGTAAAAAAAAGAATTGCGATAAAAAAATTACTTAAAAAAATTCTTCACATATCTACTAACAATAATGCATCATCTTCTTTCCTGGTTTGTGTTTCAGGTTGGTGCCATAACCACATTTGCCATACTTTTACATGAAGTTCCACATGAAGTAGGAGACTTTGCTATATTACTTCGCTCTGGGTTTGACCGATGGAAAGCAGCTAAAGCACAGGTAAATCTACTGGCACATTACAAACTTAAATAGACTTTAAAAAAAAAAAGATTGTAACTATTCATTTTTTAATTCAACAGATCAAATTAATTAAATGATGCCAAAAGAGAAAATCAGAAACCAAAATATGTAGATCAATACATTTCTATTGTGAATTAATTCTAATTCTAATGTTACTGACAATCTTAAAACTAAATGTACTAGTGAACTTATAACCAGCTGTGGTCCAGATCATATAGGTACATGTACTTGCTAGGTGTAGCTGTACAAAAACATGATGATTATATATGCATAAGGGTAGCATAACTTTTGTGATGTAAAAACGATTTTATGTCTAAAACATTTAAAAAGTTCATTTTCAAAAGTGTTGGATGTATTTTAATTCTGATACTTTGTATTTCAGGAGTTTTCAATTTCTGTTTGTTGTAATGGATCTGAGAGTAAATGTGGTGTTACCTATTTTACAGGTCCTGACATCATCTGGTGTGTTGGTGGGAACACTAACAGCTCTCACAGCAGAATCGGCCCAGGCTGCAGGTATGTACTGTCTGTGTTTGTAGAATACAGGTGGTAGTATCTACATATATAACACACAGGTAACATACCTGTAACTAACTGCTCATATTAAGTTGTATATCTTATATCGCTCCAGATCTACAGGTATTGATACTATCGTGGTTCACACTTAGAAACATGTATTATACAAAGTACACATGTAAAGTAAAAAATCGTCATTTTTCTTTATCAGCAAAAATGAACAAACAATTGTGATAAATGATGTTCCTTTATATCACGAATAATAATAGCATTCCTTCATTCTTTGTGCAGTTATATATAACTTACAAGACATGTACACACATCGCCATTATATATGAAGTTTTGATTTTACCATTTTGCTAAGTTGTTACTGTGATATAAGATTTTATCTCCAAACGTTTCCTGATGTTAGATGATTTGAGATATGAAAAAAAATAATAACCAAATTCTTGTAACTTTCATTTGTTTTCTAGGTGAGCGTACTGCCTGGATTTTACCGTTCACATCTGGGGGGTTTATATACATAGCACTGGTAACAGTGGTACCAGATCTTCTAGAGGAAAAACATGGCAGGTAAGTTACACACGTGTTAGTTAATTACCAGCTCCTAGTATTAGCCCAGACACACTAAAAATTAGTGTGTTTTCCTTATACCTGCTATCAGCTGTTTATAAACCTACAGACTAGGCACCTGCAGGAATTTTAGGTTTTTGCGCCTGATTTAATGATCATCAATAATTAGCTTCTGTATAATTGCGTCAAACATGATCAAGGGTACATGGGTATGAAGGTTTTGATTTATGTCTGTGTAATGTCTTCCCTTAACCATTTCAATCTTTACACCAGTGTTATTAAGCATGTACATATTCTTAAAAATATCTCATCATTCTAAAAGCAATTCTAAATAAGCATCTACAAAAGACACTTTACAGGCTTGTTTGTGGTATGGAACTCTCATGTAAAGGAGGTACAAATCACAATAGATACTGTATCCTTTAATTCAAAATGAAAATTTTCATCATAGTCATTAATTAACAAAATTTGATTAATGTCTTTGTAATTATTTTGTTGCGTTGTTCTCCAAATTTGTTTATTGCTGCACCAGAAAATAAATGGTGGTATTTGGATGTTTTTTTGTCTGTTTCAGGGAGTCTGTGAAGCAGGTGATATGTCTGTGTGCAGGGATCTGTTCTATGGCCCTCGTGTCCCTCATCCACTGATCACATCCACCGTGAAAAACTCCACTGACTGCAAGTCAAGTTCAAGTCCAACAACCACCAAAGTCAAATCAAAATTCAAGTCCCACCTCCAATGACATACCTGATACCAGTTGAGGTCACCGGACCAGTCTCAGTGGCCAGTACCGCCATTGATGGTCCTATCTATGTGTATTTATGTTTGAGGTCATTTAGTCATATTTCATCAGCAAACAAGGTGAAGGTCATTCAGTGACATTCATCATCAAGAAGGTCAAGGCTATCTAGTGACATAAGTGAAAGGTCAACTTCATCAAGTTAGGTTCAGCAGCAACTAAAATCATGGCTATCCATTGAGTTTTTTTTAGTAAAATGTCAAGTTCATGAAATGAAATTTATTAAAAACGAAGGCCAAGATCATCTTGTGGCATTTATCAACAGGTCAAGGTCATCAGGTGATATTCATCAACAACCAGTGTCAAGTCATCAACCATTGCCTCAGCACTAAGCGTTATATTTATTGTAATTGTGCCATAGAAATAGACACATGTCTGCAGCCTCCTGTTAGCTAGGTCTGTGTTGTTGTTTATCTATTTTACTCTTTTTTTATTCTCTCAATTATCAATCTGCTCTGTTGATGTTATTGAAATCTCAGAGCCAGATATACTCTCTGGCTCTGAGATTTCAATAACATCAACAGAACAAATGGGTTTTTTAAGGGATCGGTATTTTTTTTTTTATCTATTTTTGTTTAGTCTTCTAATTGAAAGCAAGTGTCCATTTTATGTGTTCCATTAAAAACAGGCATTGTTCTAAAATCACAAGATTATACAAAAAATAAACAAATATCAAAAACACACACACACACACACAATAAAAGTGGACAAAAATGTAGACATTGTAATGCATTTTCCTAGTTACTATCAGATCTAGAATCATTTGTTTTATCAAGACATTGTAATGCATTTTCCTAGTTCCTATCAGAATCCTTTGTTTTATCATGCCTAACCTATTGTCTTGGTTTTGACAGAACTATCACTCTTTGTGACACTCTGGGCAAGTGTATTAAGTTTGAACTGTTCTTAGTTATTTGATATTGGTGATAGACTGTTAAAAGGTGTGTGCCTGATGACGATCATAACGGTGATAAATGACAACATTACATTGAATTAGGTACACAGTATTATACATGTATTATGATAAAGGTATTATTATCTAGAAGTCCAGAAAAGAAGAAAATTGTATATGTTCTAGAAGAATTTTGTTGCAAGCTTTTTCATTTCTGTTTAGGAAATCAGGAGTCACAGGGCAGGACCCTGCAGTCAAAGTTAGAATAGAACATCTAGGAAGCTGTCACTTATTTCATTATATCAAATCTGATGCCGGTTCATCTATTCTACCAATTCATTTTGAATGAGAATCTACTCGTGGTTTAAGATTTGGGTAAAATAGCCTCACTGGCTTCAAGTAATCTATCTACTTATCGATTTATATTCTAACAATGGTTCAAGGTTGTGTGAAAATAATCATTATTTTCATTTTTGATAAAATTATACTTATTAGTCAATAGTAAATCAAATAGCAAAATCATAAATCGCTACCTTCATGTTTTTATGACGTGTGTATGCTAACAGATATTTTGAGTGTCGTCCCTACACATGAAAATGTCTTTGTTATGAACTGAAGTTCTGTTATCATATATATTAAACAGTAACAAAGAATTACCTGTATCTATTATAATACTTAAATGTCAGTAGGGTTTTACAATATATAGACTGTCCATAAAGCTTTTATTACTGTGAAGTATATTGAATGCTTTACTACTAATGACCACGTAATTATATAAGTATCTCTCTGCTATGACAGGTGGAATTTACCAAGTAAATGTTGAAAGAAAAAGAAATTATCCAGTTGCTGTTTTGCTAATTGATTGTGTTAAATCAATACAACAATTTGTTTTATTTTGACTTTGGAATAACATCTAAGCATTTAGATATGAATGGATATTAAGTTTCTTATCTATGAATAATTTTTGACATTACTTAAAGCCTTTATTGATTTTGATCATGTAAGCATATTCAAAATTTTCCAGGGGTCTTTTACCCATCAGGATGCATTCTTTTGATCGTTTCAAACAATGTTGGAGGTTTAACACAGCGAGATACTTTTGACAGGCGTCGCAGTTGTTAAAATCATATCTGATGAAAATAGCCTACTAGCGGCCTCTTATGTTATAGGAGTAACTTTTAATCATATGACAAACCAAGTTTAATCCTAAGGATTATTTAGTTGTTGTAAGATTGTGTGCTTGAGGTCATATGATATCATACTAACATGATTTTGTGTGTTTACCTAGCGTGTAACTATGTATATTGATAATGATGCTTCCATAGAAATTTCTGTCAGTTACCTAAAATGTGTTTCCATGATAGGAATTCCTAAAGGAAGAATAATTAATATTTTCATATTAAGTGTATTTCTTAATATAACCATCAGTTATCGTTCATTTTTATCCCCATCTCCCTACCTCTAGACCTACCTAATATAGATAGATTTTTGTTTTGACCAAAAGTGTACATAATGTGGGGTTTTTCGCCAAGCACTTCCTGAAAGTTCTTGGAAGAATATAAAAATGCAGAAGAACATTAGGGATTGAAATGATGTTTAATTATCATCACCCTTTTAACATACCAGATGAAATACTGTAAAGGTGGAATTTTTCATGGTGTTATTCGAATTTTCATATGGAGTAAATTGCGAAAAAACATCCACCAAACGGGAATATTTATATATAGATAATAAGTATGTAGAGTATGAGTTTCGGAACCATTGCCGGAACCATTGCCGGAACCATTGCCAATGCGAAATTTTCCGCACTGGCGATCAATATAAAGAGTCATACTGTAAACATTTCCGCGTGTGAAAATTTCCATTTATACAGTATACGAAACTATACTTCCAATTACCTAGATATTTTAATTACATAATATTTAAAAAAAATGGAAATATTTACTTGCACAATGATTGAACAATACAGATTAGGTATTGTTACAAAGTGTTCTTAATATACATTTTTTTCATTGTAGCATAATTATTTAAATACAGTTAAAACTTCATAATAGAAGAGAAATGTATTACTGTAGTGCCATTTTTTTCAGAATTGATGAACAGGGTTTGCCTTTAAATATTGTATCTCGAGGAGCTATGTTGACCGCTGCCTCGTACTAGCAGTATGACCTTGTATTCAAGGTGAAGATAATACTTGTATTTTTTGGGATATTCACCATCCACGGCTTGATGGTGCTAAGGGTTGTGCAATTGTTTCCATAGTTAAAAGTATTTGGTATTATTTTGAAATTTTTATATGAAATGTAAAATTTAATTTAGAGTTAGTAGAAAGTAAGTAAGTGGAAAGTATAACTGTATGTTATTATGATGTACGATGTACAAACTAAGGTAATATTTTGTATGGAATTATGTTTTCTCATTATAATGATATAATATTGATATTTACAGTATTATGTATAAGGTGCAATTTTACACATTTAGAAGTATTAGACAATTATAATTTCACAGGAATTTCTTTCTGTTTGATTTAGCTACCGTACTTTGGGATATTTTGGATGTGGTTATATTTTAGTTTATTTGGCACTTAGCGTGAATGAGCATGAATTAAACATACCAAAGTTTCACTAGACAAATATACAATGTATTATGTCTATGCAACTTCCTGATTTCAGCAAACTGTCTTCCTACTAATTTACTATGTATCAATTACGTCTGACTTCCATAAGCTAAGATGGAGATGATTTACGTTCAGGCAGAAATAACACTTCATATACATAACACATAAAATTATGATTTCATCTGAGGATGTCATAACTGGTAAGTCATGTGGCTATCGAAAGATGACATGCAGGTCATTATAAGTATTGCTGTAAGTGACATAATCTTGTACACATGTTCTCCTGTGCAGTCAGGCAAGACAAAATTACAAAGTCTGTATATTTATGGAATCTGAAAACATCTTGTAGCATACTTATTCACATTGTTTTCAGTAAAATACTATGGTAAACTAAAGCTATAGATGATCCTTTTATGTCATTTAGCTTCACAACTCTGTCTGCAATGCAATAGACTGTCGGAATGACTACATACATTAGCTATAGGCATGGGAAAGCATCAAAATTTATCATACATGATCATCAAATGCCAAAATTTGATGCACCAAAATTTAACCACCCCATTTTCAACCAAAAAAACACCAAATTTTAGCAACTCCAAAATATCCCAAAGTACGGAACGTTTATCAAACTGAAAATAGTTTGGACCAAAAAGTTTCACAGAGCATGTCCACATTTCTGTATCTCTGACTGTCATTAATACAGGGCCCTCTGTTGTACAGACCTTGCTACAATTTGTGTTTTATCTTAGTAATTGTACTTGGGAAGCTGATCTTTCTATGTACATTGTACTCAAATTGGTGGACGTTTAATACCAGTACAACTGCAGTTATTGTTCATCCTAGTTTTATTTTTCATATTCTGATTTATTGGAAATTGCTCTAGAGGCCTTAATCTGTTCCGTTGCTCATTACACCTGGCATGCTGGCAATGTAACCTAGGAATGTCACAGGCCACATGTAACAGGAGGGGGAAATGCACAGTGAGACTCTCATTCAAACTTCTTAACTCCAGACAGATAACAAATGTGCATTACACAGATAATAATATGCAGTTATAATTATCTATCAGAATGGCATTGTTTATATTTTGCATATTGTTCCTGGCCATAATATGTATCTCTGTTGTAAGGAGGCTATACAGAACATACTGTTGGACATCTATTATGTTAAGTGATACATGTATAGCAAAGTGTGCATTCAACAGTTTATAGGATTGTCATGCTCTGCTTTGCATGTTGTTGGTGATTTGTTTTATTAGACTGCAGCCAAATGATATTTACAAAATGGTCAGTTACTATCCTGTTATGTATATAAATCACCTAAAATGTTATTCAAATTGTTTAAAAAGTCATCCTTCTCTTGTCTTTAATGCTCAGAAATAGGAGTTTCCATTATGCTAGGTTGGTCATTGCCTTTAGCATCATTTACCTGTCCTGACCTTTAGTGAAAATTGGTGATAAAGGTGTAGAAGCAGATTTTGATGATTTAAGTTTGAGTAAAGTTTGTATTGAACATATAGATATATTGTCATTAATGTAGGTGATAGTTTTCTGTGTTACTAAAATTGTGCTGTGATTATTAGATATATATATTACCATGACAGTTTTACAGATAATTAATTAAGAAATAATCAATGTGTGTGTTTAGTGGTCGAATATATTTCGGACTTAATTCAATTTTTTCTCCAACTTTATTTAATTCTGTGTTATATATCCTGCCGTTATAAGGGAAAATGTTTTGCCTTACTGATTAATTAGGTCAAGTCATTTTGGGACAGCATTATGTGTGCATTTATTATTTGGGCGTGTGTGTCTGGTCCATGGTGGATGACTAATATAAAACACTGTTACATTGGTGACTAGTAGAATTTCTCGTAAGTTTTACCGTTTTATTCAGATCTACTTATTTTGTAATCAAAACCTTTTACCATATGTATACTTATTATCATTATTATACAGCTAAACATCACAACTCTTTTCATTTCATTTTTTGTCATAAATTATCTTCAAAAGGGTAAATACACATCATTGTGTAACTTGTGTCTTATTACTGTAAATCAGGTATATATTAACTAGAATGTAAAAAAAAAAAATCATTTCCCTCCTGCTGTCTGTTGAGTATCAGGATGAAACACACCACTTTGTAAACCTATTCTTGTTACTTACAATGGTCAACCTCTATTTGGTATGGTACTAAATCTCTAGGACAATCAATCTAATAACTTCATAAGAGATTGATACTTGATGTTTAACCTTGTTTCAGCATTGTTACTACCAGGTGTCTTATATAATGGTGTGAGTTATCAACCATTTAAAGCCAGCATTTTACATTCTTATCCCTGACTTTGGTTGCGAGAAGAAAGGGGCCTGTATCGTGCCATGTTGTTTCAGTGAGATGGGATATTAGATATTTTTCATGTCATTTCCTCGAAAGTTTGTTCATTGTATTACAGTATTCATTATGACATTGTACAACACTCTGTTTCTTTGAAGGCAATCACATTATTTGTTTTTTTCATGTGTGTGTGTGTGTGTGGGTGGGTGGGTGGGTGTGTGTGTTTGTGTGTATGTGTGTGTGTGGGTGGGTGTGTGGGTGTGGGTGTGTATGACATGGATATATGTGAGCTTTGACAATTGCCTGGTAATGTAGCGAATTGTGTCAAATTTTTGATAACATTACAGAATGCAATGATAGCTTGTCAGTGTGGTGTTTTGGTATCTGTCTCAAATTGGAATGATGTAATTTTTTGTGGGGGTTGTTGAAACCCTCTATGCCCTTGGAAATAACTTCTGATACTGCTAATAATGAATGTTTAGTCTGGGTTAGTTAATGACGTCAGGTTGTAACAATTATAATTTGATAAAGTTCACAGAGAATGGTGCATAAAGGTCATGTGACTTATTGTAACAGTTATAATTTGATAAAGTTCACAGAGAATGGTGCATAAATGTCATGTGACTTATTGTAACAATTATAACTTGATAAAGTTCACAGAGAATGGTGCATAAATGTCATGTGACTCATTGTAACAGTTATCATTTGATAAAGTTCACAGAGAATGGTGCATAAATGTCATGTGACTTATTGTAACAATTATAATTTGATAAAGTTCACAGAGAATGGTGCATGTCAAGTTAAGTTAAGAAATGTCATGTGACTCATTGTAACAATTGTCATTTGATAAAGATCACAGCAAATGGTGCATAAATTTCATGTGATTTATTGTCACAGTTATAATTTGATGTAGGTCACAGAGAATGGTGCATGTCAAGTGCAGAAATGTCATGTGACTTATTGTAACAGTTATCATTTGATAAAGTTCACAGAGAATGGTGCATAAATGTCCTGTGACTTATTGTAACAGTTATCATTTGACATAGGTCACAGAGAATGGTGCATAAATGTCATGTGACTTATTGTAACAGTTATCATTTGATGTAGGTCACAGAGAATGGTGCATGTCAAGTGCAGAAATGTCATGTGACTTATTGTCACAGAGAATGATGTATGTTAGATTCAGTTAATAATGTCAGGTGTCAATGTACCAACCATGGGAAAGTGACAACAATGATATAGATAAGGTATACAGAGTGACAGATGTGAAGTTAAGATGGTATGTGACCTATTTTAGTGTAAGTCAGGTTTAGTGTTTGACATTGTGTGAGGATAAGGGTCGTATCCATTGTTGTTTGCAGATTTCCTTTGATAAAGGGACTGAAATGTTGTGTAAGATGACGCTCGTTTGCAGATTTCCTTTGATAAAGGGACTGAAATGTTGTGTAAGAGGACGCTCGTTTGCAGATTTCCTTTGATAAAGAGACTGAAATGTTGTGTAAGAGGACGCTCGTTTGTAGATTTCCTTTGATAAAGGGACTGAAATGTTGTGTAAGAGGACGCTTGTTCCATAGCATTGTCGGCAATGTTAATGTGATATACTTGTTGAAACTGTAACATACTTGGTCCTACAAGTGTGCTTTATTTTTAGTAGCACTAGGCAGGTTTAACGCAATTATAAAACTTGTTAATAAAGAGAATATTTAAATAGAAAAAACGCTTCCTTTTTTATTTACAGTTTTACCCCTAGGATTTTAAACACAATCAGTATACATATAAAAGTAAGCTGAGAAGCTGTGAAATAACAGTAAAGGAAGCACTTCTTTATAATCTGTGTTATGTGGGATACCATACATACTGTCCCCTAAATTACAAGAACAGTTGTGTTACAACCAGGTATGTGTAACCCGTCAGAGGTGAAATGTGCAGAGTCTGCAGCACTACCAGTATATGTAATGTGTTAGGACAAAGAAGGGTGGCTCATGGTGCGATCGAAGGCACTTAGTGGCACAGTGGTACGGGGCGACATGGATTTTATGACGACTCCTGGCCCCAAGATCATGAAACGATCTTTAAGTCTAAATTTGTCTTAACTTTGGACTTAGCTAATCACCATTAACATCATGAAAAGTGACGTACATTATTAGCTAAGCAAAAACTTAAGTCTAAGATTATTCTATGATCCCGGGGCCTGATGATTCAAGTCGATAAAATTTAAAATATGAAGAGACTAGTGTACTGTGTGTTCTAAATAACAAATCTGGTTACAAGGAAATGGATAAAGTTTGTAGAGATATGATCGATGGTTCATCTGTCTATATGTGGGTGGTGGGTGTTTGGCATCTGGCTGTCTATTTACATCAGTATGTATTGATTGTGGTTTTACCTTCCATGTGTGCTTGGGTGACTACTTGATGGGATAAGAGAAACAGGTGGGAATGAGCTGAATTAGATTAGTGGAGTAAGGAGAATTCAGAATTAGTTGATTGAGCTTACAGTTGAAAAAATTACTTTGTGTGGTATATTTCTAGATACTTCCCTTGATTACTTGTTTGTGGGCTATAGTGTCCCATTTTTAGCTCTCCTGGTCCAAAGGACCAAGCTAGGTGAGCTAATGTCATACTATGGAGTCAATTGTCTGTCCGTCAACAATTTCTTCAGATGACATTTCTTCAGAATCACTGATCGGAATTTAACCAAATTTGTGTAGTTCATCAGCAACCAGGTATCTTAATTGGTAGAGTTTGGAGGGTTCTGGGTTGGAACCTTGGTCTGGCCGTGCATTTTCCCACTCCTGTAACCATTATTTTTGAATTAACTAAGGTCTTGTGTAAAAGCAGTGGAAAAATGCATGGCAAAGCTGAGGTTCAAATCCGGGACCCTCCATACTCTAAATAGACAGTCTACCAATTGAGCTACCTGGTTTGCCGACAATCAAAACAGTCCAGTTCTGCTACATTCCTCCGTACTTTTTTAAGTCTTTGCCCCTGAAGACATCACTATTTACATTGTAGGTTCGGGTATCCCCTTGCCAAGCGTTAACCCAGTACTTGAAAAAAGGGTTGGTCAGAGGAACAAAATGTAATAGGATTGGAAAAATGCACAGCCAGACAAGGGTTTGAACCGGGACCCTCCAAATTCTAGCTGCACTCGACAAAATGAGTCCTCAGGTCACTGACAATGACAAGACTAGTTCTGCTGGACATGTTTACAAAATTGAAGTATTTTGACATTTGAGTTTTTGAAAACAAAAGTAAACAAAATACAAAACCTACACTTACCAAAGTTGCTATCTAGAAATTACAAATGCACAGCATCAAAACAAGAACTGAACTACCTTGACAAGGGAAGTAACTCATTACCTGAAACAGTCCAACTCAATATAACAATGACCATTGTGAGTTTCCCACAGTTGAATTAATCTCCTAAAATTGCTCCAATCATTTAATTGTAATCCAAATCTGCTCTGCCATTCTGAATCAGCTGGAATGTTTGATTCAAATGATTGACTTATGATATCTTAAAACTCTTTTGTTAATTGCTTTTAATCTTTTATCGTTATTTTGGATTTGATTTTAAATATCAACATTTCATATAGCGTCATTGATACTGGAAAATAATGGAAAAATAATTTTAACACTTAATATCTATTGTTAAATATGGCAGATAATCAATTAGAACCCCTTTTTATATGTCCAGGGCAGATAATTTATTGTGAGAAGGTTGGGTTGATGGACAAGGGAATGGGGGATCAATATATAATAATGCCCACATCCCCACGTACATAAATAAATGTCTTTTCTATAACTACATACGCCCTCCAGCACCCTAAGCTGCTCATAATTTGCAAAATAATAATAATGAAAACGTGGACGTATTATCTCATCGTCTTTTAATTATTTTCCGGAAAATATCCTTGTCGTCACTAATATTAGTAAATACCGACAACTTCCGCATACATCGTTGGGCTGGTAAACAAATGTCAAATATGTTCAGTGACAAAATAATAGAGGCAGTGTCTTTTAAATCTTCGTGGAAGAAAGAGAGGTAATTATTTATATATTTTGGTCATTATTTAACATTATTGATTGCTGTTTTTAGTTCTGCCATGTTTTAAATATATGATTTACTTGTCCAGTTATACCGGTTGACATATTCTTCTATTCTGTCATTCCCATCGGAGAGCCAGACAGCTGAATTAATGTTTACGTGCACTATTACTATATGATTATCACACTACTTTGCTGCAAAAACAAAGTCTTTATAGTATTTTGTTGTCGAGAAAAAAAATCACTAAAAATATTGCGTCGATTCAAGTTTCAATTATATTCTAATACATCTGTTCAGTCAACAGTGGATTAACTGGTATCCAATAAACACTTTCTCATAGTGTTCATTTGAGTACCGGGTGCTAATCTCATCTTTTACCTATGTCTGTCCACATGCCATAAGGATTACCTTTAGTAACGAAAGTAACGATGTATTGTCAGTTTTCAAAAGTGAAATTACCTTGTCACTGTCGATACATCCAGAACCGAGGCATTATCATGAAAGGGAGATACAGTAGTTACTCTGGTAGTCCGAATTATTCTGACGTTTTATCTTTTTTTTTTTATATCACTCTGTCGTCGTGTGTACAACTCCGCCACGAGGGGGACAACAACCTTGTTCATTGCCCTAAACACACAATCAAGTACCGTGGAGTCTTTCTGACGAGGGACAATAGACAGTCTAGATCTCCGGTAGTTAATCGACGACAGACCGATATAAAAAAGTCAATAAAACGTCAGAATAATTCTGACTAATTACTCTGGTAACACTGGTGTAAACATTCTTGCTGAAATAAGTCTAAATATGTTATTATGTTTGTATTGACTTATACATTTAATTTAATTGTCCTCATCACATCGGTCTATGCAGGGTTAGACACTAACTTCTTTCCTTGCCTCAGTAATTAAACGCAGAGAATGGATCAGTGTCGGATAGGGAGAGGGTAGTAACCGGAACACGTGAAAAAATAACAAGTTCACAGGTCTAACAGGTACTGAACATTTACCAGTCCTTCTCATTTTTAATTAGTCCAGGACTAATGGACTAGTGTCGAACCCTGTGCTATGATTGTGAATGTTGCATGTTGAACCCTAATTTGGTAAATAATAATCTGGTATGTTGTTAAAGTTTTAGCAAACAGTACTTCATGATAAAACCTTGTGAATTTTAGATCTCTAGCCGACAGCGGTGCACAGACAGATGACTTGGAAACATTTGAGAGAGCTTCACAGTCTGTGAAGAGGAAAGATAAAGAAGTAAGCTTTTTATCAAATTTCTAATGTCAGATTTATATTTTATGATGTGTGATTTATAACATTTAATAATTTAACACATTTATGGGAAGATAGAAATATTTCAGCAAATTATAAATTCAAATGGTGTTGCATGTACCATTTTAGGCCTTCAATTGTTTGTTTTGAATTCTGAATTCCGCCACCAAAACCTGGCACGTTCTTAAATGATCATAGCTATTAATAGGACGTAAAACACAAACGAAACTTTAAAACAAATTCTGAATTCTAATTCCTCATGAAATTTTACATCATGGTCAAAAGAAAAGACACAAAAATATAGAAATTTGGCTAATATAAATGTCTACAACCATGATTGCCTTCCTCTGATCCATAGGTACAGACTGAAGATGACGGTAGCCACAAAACAAGGCTGGCACAGGACACTGTTGGTCGACTGGGGGAGTTTTTATCCAAGATAGAGCCAGTCATTTTACGAGAACTAGACAAAGCTCTAACAAGTCACGCATTTGATGGTAGGTAAACTGTTAATAAAACAACCAGCATTCATAGTGTCCCCTACTGTCTAAATGAAAAAAGGTACCATAGATTCTGTTGTTAGGTCTCGCATCATGAACAAATGTATGAAATCAGGAATTAAATGAATTAAATGACTCCTGTAAGGTGTTCCTGTTATGTGTTTCAGACTATATGTAAGGTGTTCCTGTTATGTGTTTCAGGCTATATGTAAGGTGTTCCTGTTATGTGTTTCAGACTATATGTTAGGTGTTCCTGTTATAAGTTTCAAACTGTATATAAGGTGTTCCTGTTATGTGTTTTAGTTCAGACTGTATGTAAGGTGTTCCTGTTATGACGTGTTTCAGACTATATGTAAGGTGTTCCTGTTATGTGTTTCAGACTATATGTAAGGTGTTCCTGTTATGTGTTTCAGGCTATATGTAAGGTGTTCCTGTTATGTATTTCAGACTATATGTTAGGTGTTCCTGTTATGAGTTTCAGACTGTATATAAGGTGTTCCTGTTATGTGTTTTAGTTCAGACTGTATGTAAGGTGTTCCTGTTATGACGTGTTTCAGACTATATGTAAGGAGTTCCTGTTATGTGTTTCAGACTATATGTAAGGTGTTCCTGTTATGTGTTTCAGACTACATGCAAGGTGTTACTGTTATGTGTTTCAGACTATATGTAAGGTGTTCCTGTTATGTGTTTCAGACTACATCAAAGGTGTTCCTGTTATGTGTCTCAGACTATATGTTAGGTGTTCCTGTTATGTGTTTCAGACTTTAATATTGGATGGGATAATGAGGAAGCCTCAGTCACATGTGTCCATAAACTTACCAATCCAGACCTAAATGAGCAGGTAAGTAAAGTTAACTCATACTTGTAAGGAAAGTGGTTGGTACTTAATAATCATACCGATAGATTCCTTACCAAATATAAAATTCCTTAGCTCAACATTCCCCTTACTGTTTAACAATGCTATGTATTTCAGATGAATGAATTCCTATAGAGTATTGCTTCATTGCGATAATCTGCACATGTAGAATGAGTGTTCTCTGACCCTGGACAGATGTATCAAAATTTTCCCCGGTGTGAAATTTATAGAATCTCTCAGGCTAAATTCAGGGTTGACGTGACGTTGATGGATTGTTGAGGTGACGTCATTGTATTGTTGAAGTGACGTCATATCATTGTTATGAATAGGGGAATCCCCCCCGTCTCAACCCTAGGGTGAGACAAGGAAATCTCACACTGGTAAAAGTGAGGATACACCTGTCCAGGGTAAGAGAAACCCTTGTCTCACCCTAGGGCTGAGATGAGGGAATTTCCCTTTTCATAACAATTGTATGATGTCAGGTCAATAGTGTTAATATGACACGGCTAACAGGACAGGAGAGGAAGAATCATTTCCAAACCCACACAACCCTCTCTGGAATATTCTTAAGTTACCAAACACTCTGTAAGTCTTTGTGTTTGTAAACTTAGGAATCCTCTCCTTCAGTTGAGTCCCCCATCTCACCCCTAAGGGGACTAAAAATTCTAAAAATGTGCATAATGCTTTGTCTTAAGTTAGGTGGATGAGGTGGCCAACAAAACAATTTTGTTTCATGCGGCTCAATCTAGTGACAGATGTAATCAATCACTTTCCTTTTACCTTTACAGTTACATATCACAGGGATAACCTGGAATTCTACAGGGGCGGTTATAGCAGCAGCGTATCCTTCATGTTAAGTGCTGGATGACTTCTTGAGCAGGTGTGACTTAAATGGCTCCAGGTGTCATTTTAATATTTGTTCTGAAGGTTCACACATAACGATATAGATTCTGAAGAGTTTCTGTCAAGTAGGGTATGATAAATTTTTGGTATAGTAAATTTAATCTTACCCGGTATATACATATATGCAAATGTCCTTAACATTACCAAGATACGGTCGCTATGACCACGAGGACTGGTGTACACATAAGTCAGCATTGTGTACTTGGAATCTGGAGCGCAGGAACATCAACGAGAATAAGCCTGATACAGTCATTGACCTGTCAACATGTCTTACCTGTGTAGCTTTTCACCCAAAGAACCCTGCCATCATCGCGGGTGGCACATATGACGGTAGGTACCTCTTCATGAACATGGTCATTATAAGACATGTAAGGTAGGATAAGTACACTGCTTTTTATCACATATGGTATGTATTCTATAGTATAGACATCTGGTATGTATTCTATAGTATAGACATATGGTATTTATTTTATAGTACAGACATATGGTATGTATTCTATAGTATAGATATATGGTATGTATTCTATAGTATAGACATATGGTATGTATTCTATAGTATAGACATATGGTATGTATTCTATAGTATAGACATATGGTATGTATTCTATAGTATAGACATATGGTATGTATTCTATAGTATAGACATCTGGTATGTATTCTATAGTATAGACATATGGTATGTATTCTATAGTACAGACATATGGTATGTATTCTATAGTAAAGACATATGGTATGTATTCTATAGTATAGACATATTGTATGTTTTCTATAGCATAGACATATGGTATGTATTCTATAGTATAGGCATATGGTATGTATTCTATGGCACAGACATATGATATGTATTCTATAGTATAGACATATGGTATGTATTCTATAGTACAGACATATGGTATGTATTCTATAGTAAAGACATATGGTATGTATTCTATAGTATAGGCATATTGTATGTTTTCTATAGCATAGACATATGGTATGTATTCTATAGTATAGGCATATGGTATGTATTCTATGGCACAGACATATGATATGTATTCTATAGTATAGACATATGGTATGTACTCTATAGCACAGACTTATGGTATGTATTCTATAGTATAGACATATGGAATGTATTCTATAGCCCAAACATATGGTATGTATTCTATAGCACAGACATATGGCATGTATTCTATAGTATAGACATATGGTATGTATTCTATAGCACAGACTTATGGTATGTATTCTATAGTATAGACATATGGTATGTTTTCTATAGCATAGACATATGGTATATATTCTATAGCACAGACATATGGTATGTATTCTATAGCACAGACATATGGCATGTATTCTATAGTATAGACATATGGTATGTATTCTATAGCACAGACATACGGTATGTATTCTATAGTATAGACATATGGTATGTATTCTATAGCAAAGACATATGGTATGTATTCTATAGTATAGACATATTGTATGTATCCATAGTATAGACATATTGTATATATTCCATAGTATAATCAATATAATCGTGCCAGTCAGTTTATGATTAAAGATAATCACACTTTGTGCTCAACTGCCTTTGTGAGAACAATAATCCTATCATGAGCATTTCAAGGACTGTAGGTAACTCAAGAAGCTTGTTTGCTGGCCACTGAAAACACAGTAATCTCCACCTCAGCTTTAGTCTTACACTATACGGATGATGTTTGATACACATAATGTAACTGAATACATAAGTCAGTGTACATCACTGTGGTGAAATAGGCGAGATAATGATGTAGTTTTTGTCATTCAGTACAAGTAATGATATAGAGGAATCTGTCTAGTCCTTCTTGGTTACTGAATTGGAAATTAACCAACTGCTGACTGTGTTGTATCTCTCAGGAAATATCAGATTTCGTAATGATTTTTTTCCAGGGGAGGTAATGATGTGGGACTTGAGTCGAGAAGACGATATGTTGGTGACAAGCTCGGGTATAGGTGACGACGCCCACAGGGAGCCTGTAACCCGTGTTCACTGGATACCCGACAACACCACCTCAAAGAGGGACCGGTATCTGGTAGGTCTTCTAACTGACTTGTACAGTTGTCACAGGTACTATTATAGCTAGATAACATTACCTCAAAGGGGGACCGGTATCTGGTAGGTCTTCTATTGACATGTACAGTTACCTATTATAGCTAGATAACATTACCCCAAAGAGGGACCGGTATCTGGTAGGTCTTCTTACTGACTTGTACAGTTGTCACAGGTACTATTATAGCTAGATAACATTACCTCATAGAGGGACTGGGTTTTAGTAGGTGGTCTTACTGGCTGGTATGATTGTCAACGGTAAATTATAGCAGGATACCACTACATCAAATAGGGGGCCGACCAGTATCTGGTTGGTCTTCTCAATGGCTTATAGGGTTATCATCAGCACTACTTTGTCAGACTATACTACACTGTACTATAAAGATTGAGTAGTATCTAGTCGGTCTTATTAACTTGTAGGGTTATTACAAGAAGCACTTACCCAACTATTTGTCATCAGTTTCACCACTGTCATGCATTGTCGTAGTCTTTGAGTTGGAGATACCATAATTATTATGTGTTGTCAACATGACCCATTCAGGCTGTAATACAATCTGATTCATGCTTACCACTTCATATACTTAATTTATCTCATACTACTTTTCCAGTTATCTTCTGTCAATTAAAATACATCCTTTAATGAGAAGTTTTCAAATTTCTTAATGTTTACAGCTTGTCAGTACAAGTGGGGATGGCAAGATCCTGGTATGGAAACATGACAGAAAGAAGGATGCCATTAAATTGTCAAATGGGTAAGTGCATTACCTACTGATAAAACGCTTCTTATTTAAACAGTGGGGAACTTTAACTGATCTATTATGTGAAGGGTGATATTTACCAATGAGAACCTATAGTTTGTTGATGTTGATAATTTTTCCAGCTCTTTGACAGCAGTGTTATTGTGTACCGCTATTGTGTTACCTTATCTCCAGGTTTATACTGATGGCCCAGAACCTACCCAAGGCACTGAGGAAGTCACGAGGGATACGAGGAGACAAGGAAGTGGGCGTGACTTGTCTCTCCTACAACTGTGAGGACCGTGATGCCTTCCTCATCGGATCAGAACCAGGAGCAGTGTTCAGGTGCTCCATGCAGACACATGGGGAACCAGCCGGAAGTAAGCTCTACACTTACTTAATGTACCATGTACATCAAAGTATTTGTATTTCTATCGGAGTACAGGTTAAAGCAAGTTCACTAGGTGGTATGACTTGTACTCTGACAGAAAAAAGCATAAATAGAACTTATTCCGACTCTAATGCTGACAGATAAACGGTTGATAACCTATATGTTTTTTTTCTGTCAAAGTAATTGATTTCACCACTGATTAATGTTTAAGTACAGTAGATCAATAAATGTCCTAATCTACTCAATAATATTTTATTTATTTGTTTTAAACATTTTTTTTTTTCACTTGTCATCTATGACAAGTATACACATAACTGGAAATAGGATATGGCAACAAGATTTTAAATCTTACACATGTATTAAGCCATCGATTATTTATTTCACTACCGTTGTAAGATACAGCCAAGTAAAGGAACAATGTAGATCACCTGTAACAATATTTCTCAACAGGTCAGGTCATCTCATCTGTACCTCTCCACTCACCTGTAACCTTTACATACAACCCGCACTACGCCCCAGTGTACTCGGTAGAGTTCTCTCCCTTCCACAGAAATGCATTCCTTAGTTCATCAATGGACCAAACCATCAGACTGTATAGTATGTTACAGGTAAGTGGTATAGTCATCAGCCATGTATAAGTTGGCATGTTTACTCAAATATTTTACCTAGATATTTATATAGAGGCTTATACACATTTCTCCCTCAAAATTTGAAATAAAAAAACATTTCCAATCTCTACCCCCCCCAAAAAAAACCTGGAGAATGGAGAAGTCACTGCTTTACTGAACTACATGTGATATAAGATATAAAATATATTCAAGTCATCAGTTTTTTTACACCAAACCAGGGACATTTTTATTTCACAAACATTTTTTCTGCTTCTAAAGATTGAAATAAATTCATGAATTTTCTTGCTCTAGACAATACACTTGTAAGGTTTATGTAGACCTAGATTCCATTAAAATACATTTGTTTAGGATTGATATATCTAAATTCTGTAACACCTTGTTTGTGTCCATTGTGAATTATGAATTATGGTGTGTATACAGAAACAACCAGTACTGACCATAGAGCCAGGGGAGGGCTTTATATCATCTACGAAGTGGTCACCTATCCGTCCATCTCTCATTGCCGCAACAACAGAGTCTGGTCACCTACTCCTGTATGACTTGAGAAGTGAACAACCTGTACCTATACAAAAACTGGAGGCCAGCATCAACAAAACAGCAGTGCATACCTGTCAGTTCAACCCTAATCAGTAAGTATAATGTATACCTGTCAGTTCAACCCTAACCAGCAAGTCTAATGTATACCTGTCAGTTCAACCCTAACCAGTAAGTATAATGTATACCTGTCAGTTCAACCCCAATCAGTAAGTCTAATGTGGACCTGTCAGTTCAACCCTAACAAGTAAGTATAATGTATCCCTGGCAGTTCAGCCCTAACCAGTAAGTCTGATGTATTCCTGTCAGTTCAACCCTAACAAGTAAGCCTGAGGTATACCTGTCAGTTCAACACTAACCAGTAAGTCTGATGTATTCCTGTCAGTTCAACCCTAATCAGTAAGTCTAATGTGGACCTGTCAGTTCAACCCTAACAAGTAAGTATAATGTATCCCTGGCAGTTCAGCCCTAACCAGTAAGTCTAATTTATACCTGTCAGTTCAACCGTAACCAATATGTATAATGTATGCCTGTCAGTTCAACCTTAACCAGAAAGCCTAATTTATACCTGTAAGTTCAACCCTAACCAGTAATTATAATGTATACCTGTCAGGTCAACCCTAACCAGTAAGTGTAATATATACCTGTCAGTTCAACCGTAACCAATATGTATAATGTGTTCCTGTCAGTTCAACCCTAACTAGTAAGTATAATGTATACCTGACAGTTCAACCTTAACCAGTCAGCCTAATGTATACCTGTCGGTTCAACCCTAACCAGTAATTATAATATATACCTGTCAGTTCAACCCGAACCAGCAAGTCTAATGTAAACCTGTCAGTTTAACCCTAACCAGTAAGTATATTGTGTACCTGTCAGTTCATCCCTAACCAATATGTATAATGGGTACCTGTCAGTTCAACCCTAACAAGTAAGTATAATGTATCCCTGGCAGTTCAGCCCTAACCAGTAAGTCTAAGGTATACCTGTCAGCTCACCCCTAACCAGTAAGTCTGATATATACCTGTCAGTTCAACCGTAACCAATATGTATAATGTGTTCCTGTCAGTTCAACCCTAACTAGTAAGTCTAATGTGTACCTATAAGCTCAACCCTAACCAGTAAGTCTTATGTATACCTGTCAGTTCAACGCTAACCAATATGTATAATGTGTTCCTGTCAGTTCAACCCTAACCCGTAAGTATAATATATACCTGTGAGTTCAACCCTAACCAATATGTTTAATGTATACCTGTCAGTTGAACCTTAACCAGTAAGCCTAACGTATACCTGTCAGTTCAACGCTAACCAATATGTATAATGTATGCCTGTCAGTTCAACCTTAACCAGTGAGCCTAATGTATACCTGTCGGTTCAACCCTAACCAATATGCATAATGTATACCTGTCAGTGCAACCCTAACCAGTAAGTCTTATGTATACCTGTCAGTTCATCCCTAACCAGTAAGTATAATATATACCTGTCAGTTCAACCCTAACCAATATGTATAATGTATACCTGTCAGTTCAACCTTAACCAGTAAGCCTAATGTATACCTGTCAGTTCAACCCTAACCAATATGTATAATGTGTACCTGTCAGTTCAACCCTAACCAGTAAGTGTAATATATACCTGTCAGTTCAACCCTAACCAGTAAGTCTCATGTGTACCTGTCAGTTCAACCCTAACCAGTAAGTATAATGTGTACCTGTCAGTTCAACCCTTACCAGTAAGTTTAATGTAACCAGTAAGTCTAATGTATACCTGTCAGTTCAACCCTTACCAGTTAGTCTTTATACACCTATCAGTTCAACCATACCCTTTAAATTATATAAGATATTTGAGTCACATCTTGGTGAATTAAGAACAACAGTTTACTGGTATAGTTATAACAGTACAGTTAACTTTTGTGCATTAATTGTTGATACATAATTCATTTTAAGAGGAAATAAATACATACATGTATACTCTGGTGCTTAGAATACTTGTTATTTTGTTTCCATTATACAACTGCTTTATGCTGGTTTGTAGATCTTAAGTCTGTTGCTCTTTCTCAGGTTTGAGTTACTGGCGACCGGAGATGGGGCCGGCTTTGTCCATGTGTTCAGGCTCAGCCAGGATCTCAAATCAACCAACCCTAAAGACATTGAGGCTATCAATGTATTAGTGGACATCGAGTCATAACGGCACTTCAAGCTTAGCTTCCTCTCAACCACATGCTGAATTAACAGGGACAAATATGTTTTCAAAATACTAATGAAGAACACAGAAGCTTTCTCACAATTTCAGAATGGAGAAATCATGTACCGATTACATGCTTTACATGAATTTTAAGGAACAGTTTTTTCATATTGATGATGCCATTACATCATCCTACCAGATTAAACAGATTGCAATTCTAGGACCAAATGATATCTGAAATCATGGATCTACTTTTATTATGCATATCTTTCAACAAGTTTGGCTATTTCAATCTTTTTGTGACGATATCCACATCAATATTTGTTTAGATAAGTCTTAAGTATAAATACCAGATTATTTAAAGTTGGCAGCTGCTCTACACACGAAACAAAGACCTGGTCAGGTTGTTTGATGAAGATATGTGGTGATGAAAAAATCTTGGAAATTTATTACAAATATGAAGTTGAATTCCGTCCAAGCTAATACAGGGACCAGACCCTGACATTATCTGTGATACATGTAGCACATATGATTATTTCTCAAAATAAAGCTAGTTGTAATACATGGCTTGGTGTTGCTTGCTTTAGATAAAATTTAAGATAATGTACATGCATAGCATGTTGATTTTTTAAACAGTTAAGTCCTTTAGCAAGTTTGGTTACCATGGAAAAGGCAAACACTTGATCAAAATAATGCTGTCAGACAAAATACCTGTGGCACACAACAAAATGTCAACATATTGAGAAATTCTATATTTTATTTCAAAACAAGGGAAATACCAACACTTGGCTTGAAAAAATTGAAGAATTGATTGTAAGTGAACAGTTCATACCTCATGTGTGCACTCTAGTTATCTCCCCTCGATCCCACACAGCCCTACATGTGGCACATGTCAGAGTGCCAGTGCTGTGTGTTAGACAAGTCCTACACATAAGGTGCTCACACGCACCCCTGTACATGACACTGCTATCCTTTTTACACATACAACACATTTTATCACTACTGGAAACATCTATCAAGTTGGAATTTATGGAACTTTGATATTTTGCAGAAGTCCTTGAAAATTTTGTAAATGATGGCAATGACCCAAGAGTTGAAGCAAGAGCCGAGTCCAGACTGTATTTCAGACTGTCCCCATGAGTAAAAGTTTCCCCACTCCTGTCTCCAAGCTTTGTCATTGTACTACTAGGAGGCTCTTGCTGAGTATTTGTCATCAACTTAACAGAGCTAAATTTCATTTCACTTGTTTTGCTATCACAGTGTGTTACAGACTTCTTCAATCGCTTCGCCCTGGTTGAAACCTCTGAATTATCAGTAATGTCACTTGCAGTTCTTTTATTATTTTCAGGAATTTTACGACTTTCCTGCACATTATCATGTGTCTTAGATTGAGACACAAGCTTACTAGCTAATGCTAGCTTTGAGGTATAAGTGCTACTTTTCCCTAATGTACGAGGTAGATGTCCCAGGGTATCACTATGAGTCAGAACAAATCCGTCAATTCTAGTCTTAAGTGATGTATTAGGAATGGCTTGGATGTTTCCGTGGAAGTGTATGCCTGTGTAAGGATCACTCGGGGGACGGCCCCAGGAGGCTTCATTACTGTTATGTTTCTCCAAAGTTGATTGATCAATGTTTTCCCCACAGGGTAACAGCATTGGAACTGTCATGATGTCCCATGTGATTTTGTCAATAAAGTCATTGGGAACCTCTATTCCCTTTTCATGGTATACATCCACATTGATCTGGTCAGCAACAGGATTTTCCCCTTTTCTGGTCACCACACAATCAGTATTTTTTACATTGGAAGGCACTGAAGAGAGGTATAAGGCCTTTATTCTATTGGTGATGTCTACCCGACTGGAGCGGGATGGTTGGCCCCAAATCTCCAGACGTTGTATACCAACAGCACTCCCATTGATTGTTCTGGACACCCTCACAGAAAGGTGGCTCACGAAACTCAAAGATGACAGTTTATGATGTCTTAAATCTCGTGCATTTTGAAAAGCACTTGAAGCAGGCACAGTATTTTCTGGATGCCATTCACCAAAAGGACGGTATTGAGCATTACTGAAGCACAACATCCCTGGATCTTGCATCACAGCTTTCCCAACTTGCTGGTACATCATGCTGGCAGATTTCATCCCTGAGTCACAGCTGGTAGACTGTTCCGACACTCCATTTAGCCAACAATGGTCTACTTTTTTAGAGCAGGTAAATATTTCTATGCCACTTGATATCTGTCGTCCAACTTTGGGGTCAATTATGATGCGGAACAACTCTATGTTGCATGGAAATGCAATAGTGATAATAACTGGTGGTTTTATAAAAGTCTCTGCAAGGAATCCCCGTCTTCGTTTGGCCCAGTCTTGAGACACCAGATTGGTCACTTCATAATAGTCAGCACTAACTTTGTCACAGGTGATATTTGCAGCAAACTGACCATTGCAGAAGTCTACCAACATTTTTCAAGACATTGGTCAGTCAACCTGAAAAGATAATAACAAGACAGAAAGTGAATATTTTGGGAATCATTTATTTAACAATATCATCATTTTTTTTTCAAAATATGGATTAAGGTCATAGGAGTGTATAGATAAACGGAAATAGGAAGTACATCCCTAGTTGAAAATCCAATGTACGGAGACAGTTTCACAATTTCCGCGTATTCTAATGTTTAATATTAAACTGATGAATATTGTATGTTTATTATTAACAGAAAAGTGTGTTCTCTCAATATTAATGTAAAGTATTTCAAAGCAATCCAGGCATTAATTCAGTTGTTTTTCATCAATGAGTCACATGTGTCCATTTTTCTGTACTTCAGGAAACCAGCTACCTATTTCACTACAGTGAAGTTTTTCAAGAATGTGTATATGGTTTCATTATAAAATGTCAATTTTTAATCGTTTATAGATAATTTATTTTACACAATTTCAGCATTTATTAAATTGATATACATTAATGCAATACTAATCTATGGCACTATTATTTTTATTGACATTATTTTGCATAAAAAATTCTTTCATTTATTTTTTCAAAATCCACTCCTTTTTACATAATTTTCCATTCAAAATCCTTAAAATTCTTGCAACCTATATTTTTTTGCGGCAGATTTTTTTCTTTACTTCAAAGAAATATAACTACAAAATTTTAAGAAATTCTACTGAGAAATGGTGACACAATCCTATCACCTTAACAAGAATCTAACAAAATTTCAAGCACATTCCTGTTCCATTTACTGACATGCTATAATTAATCTACTAAAATCATATATTGCTATGCATAAGTTACGGACTGGGTAGTGTTAGTGAAGGCTACTTTATTTTGAATCAGTCATCTTTTCTGTTAAGAGTGTCTGATAACTTTCTATAATGAAACAAGATGGCTGTAATTAACCAAGCAGTTCTCAGACTGTAGGTTAAGTTCAGGGCGTCATGCAGGCACTTATCAGAAATCTTTGGGAATTAACACAGCCAATAATTCCACAGATTTCTACTGATTCATGCAGTATACTCATGTCTTCATATGGCCTTTGCTGTTGTGAGGAGGTTAAAGCCCAAACTAACAAAACGTTAAATCAATATAATTGTTAATCTGGACCATTTTCCTTTATCGCGGTCCAAGCGGTTGGACCACTGTTTGTTTATGAAACAAGAGATCCCAGAGGGATCTTGGTGCCCATCTTTGTACCATCTTCATTAGTTCTTTGTCAGTTCAATCTTTTCTCTTCTTTCCTCTAATCTGTTTGATCGAGTCATGTTAACAGTAAATGCACCTTGAGGTAACTTTTGATCTAAACTTAATACTGATGTGTATGAAAGCCAACCTTCAAAGTGAGTTTGTCATTTCACATATTTACTAGTACAGTACTTAATGTGAAAGAAATAGAATCGATCATTGCAATATGAGAAAGATCTGTTTAGTTCTTCTTTTAATCCATTTTGTTTTTATGATCAGTCTCAAAATATAACATACACAACGAGGGATCAAGGGGAACCTACATTTAAAATTTGAGAAAGATCCCTCCGGTACTTCCCGAGAAATAGCGATAACAAACTTTCACTATCAAAATCCAAGATGGCTGCCTGTCGGCCATGTTGTTTATCCGATCAGTCTCAAAAGTTGACCTGCGCAGCTAAGGACTAAGAGGAACCTACATATAAAATTTGAGAAAGATCCCTCTGGTTCTTCTGTAGAAATAGCGATAACAAACTTTCAATATCAAAATCCAAGATGGCTGCCTGTCGGCCATGTTGTTTATCCGATCAGTCTCAAAAGTTGCCCTGCACAGCTAAGGACTAAGAGGACTCTACATATAAAATTTGAGAAAGATCCCTCAGGTGCTTCTTGAGAAATAGCGATAACAAACTTTCAATATCAAAATCCAAGATGGCTGCCTGTCGGCCATGTTGTTTATCCGATCAGTCTCAAAAGTTGACTTACACAGCTAATGACTAAGGGGAACCTGCATATAAAATTTGAGAAAGATCCCTCTGGTACTTCTTGAGAAATACCAATAACAAAAAATGTCAAAGGACGGACCACAGACTCGTGGTGATTTGAATAGCCCGCCATCAGATGATGGTGGGCTTATAAGGCCGGACCCAGTAATCTGATGCTGCTTTCAGGCGAGCCTTGATAAAGCCTTGCAAGGCCCGCACAAACTTTTGCAGGTCCGCCAGGATTTATCAGGTTGGGCACAACAGCGCATATGGGTAATAATCCTGCATTTGGGTAACATCTTTGTATGTTATGATACACTTCGATTCTACTTTCACTATCCTATATAAAAAATCAAAATTTTGTACTTCGCTATCTTTATTAAAAAATGCTATTTATATGGTTATTATAAACAACTTTTGGTTGAACGTTTTTTCGTGTTTTGACATTTTCGTGATTTCAGATGTCCCGACTTTTCTAAGGCTTCAAAGGTCGTGAAATACTTTCAAAACCAAAAACTGTTCAACCAAAAGTTGTTTGTAATAACCAATGGATATGTCGATTTTCAATAACGTTAGTGAACTACAAATTTTCGATTTTTTTATATAGGATAGTGAAAGTAGATTTGAAGTGCATTCAACCATACAAAGATGTTACCCAAATGCGGGATTATTACCCATATGCGCCGTTCTGCCCAACCTGTTTATACCCGAAAATGTTACATTTAAACCGGTTGTTCCGTAGAAACGAACAGGTCCCTGTATATAAAAAATACCACTTATAATATTTTTTATATACAGATTTTTATAATAAGATCTATATTTATTAAACGCCATGCTCCTATGCAGCCCGAGTTTCCTCTGGCCCAGACACCAGACTTTGACAGATAGACGTCTGAATGTCTACGTCTGGTATCAGGGCCAGAGGAAACTCGGTCTAACTCCTGTGGTATTTTTAAACGGGGCCGTTTTCGTTTATTAAATAAAGTCGGACCTAGTAATCTGATGCCGCTTTCAGGCTAGACTTGAAAAAACCTTGCAAGGCCTGCATAAACAATTGCAGGTCCGCCAAGATTTATATCCGAAATTGTTACATTTACCACGGACTTAGATAACCTAATTCCGTGCATTTACAAACGGACAAACCGGTCGAAAAGGCCGTAGACAAGCTTTCTTCGGCAATCAGTTGTGAAACCTTCAGACTGACAATTTCTTCTTTTTTTCATGTTTATTAGTTAAAGTTCACCATACTACTCCTACCTCAAACATTAGTTACCACATACCATACCTGAACTGATGTCAAGTTCTTTGCCTTTTGTTGCTGTTCGCTGTCACTGACCGGATGCTGTATACAGGACTATAAACACGGACGAAATGCGGAAAATTCGGAAACTACAATATAATCTAGGGAATATAAAGAGACACCAGAGAAAATTGAGAGACAAATTATCATCTCTTTTTTGTGCTTTAAAAAAGTATTAACAACATAAAAACTACAAAAATATGTGTATTATGTGTATTCTGTCGGCGAATTGACTTTTCATTACAATTTGTCTATATATTGCATACTGCAATATATATGGTACATCAACTCGCCCAAATGGAATTCGTTTTGTGAATTACCACCAAAAAGTTGTTCTAGACTTACACATTCTATTATTGAATTTTTAAGCATTGGCCATGGATTGAAGGTTATTCTATGTTTAAACATTAAAAAAAATCAATGTGATCTTTTGATTATGCATTGAAAAAAATGTCCCTCTAATTTTGTTACTTTGTTTTACCCTCAAAGGTACCAAATTTATTATTGCAATATAGCAATATAAATTATTGCAATATGGCAATATAAACTAGAATTTTGTTTCTGTGAACAAAAACATATGTCTCCCCTTATTAGCCAATAGAAAAACTCCGGTATATTAACAAAGGGCCATATCGCATATACAATATACATTTTACATGTACTATGATATGAGTCTTGTTTCTTTCCACTTCCATATTTGCTGGGCTAACAGAAATGTAAATACCGCAGCAATACTCATTTGTTAGCTTTGATTTGTTTTATTTCACCTTAAATACCTCCCCCATCAGGAGCCAGGGTCAAAGTAAGAGATTACTTTGTCTTTGACCTTTGGACCCAAATGACCTTGACCTTTAATCCAGTGACCCTGATCTTTGGTCAGTTGACTCATTCTTCAATTCCAACCAACTCTGCTTTATGATATCATAACAAAATGTTCATCAGTGAAAAATACAAAACTTGACCTTGACCTTGAACCTTTGGAACATGTAACCTTGATCTTTGGTCAGTTGACTCTGTGTTAATTTCTGAACAACTTTGCTTCTAAATAACATACAAAAAATGTTCATCAGTAAAAAGATACAATATCTGACCTTGAAATTGACCCAGTGACCTTGACCTTAAGTCAGTTGACTCCTTGTTAAATTCCAACCAACTTTGCTTCATAATGTCATAACAAAATGTTAATCAGTGAAAAGATACAAAATTTGACCTTGACCTTTGACCCAGTGACCTTGACCTTTGATCAGTTGATACCTTGTTTGATTGTGACAGACAGACGGACGAATTAGTATAGGGCACCCGCATCTTCGATATGGGGCCCTAACAACATGGAAGATATGCTGTGGACAAACTTCGGTATTAATTAAACAAAGGGCCATAACTCTGTATATAGTGACGCACGAGACCTAATTCCAATGCACTGCACACCTTCTGTGAGTGATGCAGGTATGCTTCAAGTTTGATTAAGATATCTTTAATGGTTTAGAAGTTATGCCGTGGACAAACTTTGGTAATAAAAATAAACAAAAGGCCATAACTCTGTAGATAGTGGGGGCATAAAATCTGATTTTGGTGTGAGAAATTCCACCTTCCCAAGATACATCAATATGGTAAGTATGGTCAACGTAGGTGAAATAACCTAGAACTTATGATCTGGACAAATTTCTGTATTAAAATTAAACAAAGGGCCATAACTGTATAGAGTGGAGCACGAGACCTAGTTCCAGTGCTCTGCACACCTTCTGTGGGTGATGCAGGTATACTTCAAGTTTGATTAAGATATCTTTAACGGTTTGAAATTTATGGGCCGGACAAGAATTAACTGAAAAAGTGCACTTATTTGACCTTTGACCTTGAGGTGAAGGTCACAGTGACCTATTTCCAGTGCACAGCACACCTCCTGTGGGTGATTCATGCATACCTAAAGTTTCATCAAGATATCTTTTAAGGTTTAAAAGTTATGCCCCGGACAAGTCCGATTAGAAGAAGAAGAAGAAGAACCAGTACTAATACAATATGTCTCCCTTCATTCGAAGGGGAGACATAATTATTGCAATACGAATAATGTTTTTGAACAGTGTGGATTGCAATTGCACTTGGTGATTACACAATATTTCTCTTTACGAATAGACCGTCAGAAAGTTGATTACATTACAAGCGAAATAGTAAAGGAAACAAAGTCTACCCTACATAATTAACTGAATGAATTACTGATCTGCAAAAGAAACTGCAAACAAAGTTGTATTGATCATACCAATATGTTGATGATGGTTACATCTCTACAGTTGCTATGGATACCAACAAAGCTGTATTGATCATACCAATATGTTGATGATGGTTCCATCTCTACAGTCGCTATGGATACCAACAAAGATGTTGGTACTATTAATAGCTAATATTAGCTATAGGATCAGGCCATATTACATCAGATGATGCATTTTTGCATGACAGTAAAGCACATTAGAGTAATTTTGGGTGTTATATATAAAGTTGCATGTTAGTATTATAAATAACAGCTTGTAATGTTTCCAAGCCATCTCTCTATATTTAACGTCAATAAGAGAATAAATAAAGGTAAATGTGATATAGATAAACTAATACATAAACATACTAGTACTGACAAAGAAAAGTATGTAAATAAAAAATACAAAAAACAAAAAAAACGCTTTACATTGCATTATTTTTTTATTTTCCTGAGTAAACACTAATTTAAAACACACAGTAATATCTAGTATTTTAAAAACCTAAACAATATTTTCCATTTCTTTTCTACACAGTAATAACAAGTAAAACTTTGTGATATAATCAATAATACTTCATAATTTGTCAACAAATACATATTGATTCACAAACATTTGAATCCCGTCTGGATAAGTATTGGGGACAACCTGATTGTTTCTATAACCATGAGATAGACAATAATGAACTTATTCATTGCCGGGACATCAGCATAGTGTCTGACGATGTTCCAGATCTGGATATATAGGCATATTGCCTGCATCCAGTATTATTATTATTATTATTAAAAGAGAAGGAAATTTGAGACAGAAATGAATTTCAATACTTTTCAATAAATTATACCAATAACCTGGATTAGATTTTGGTCTACCTTACACAAAAGATTCTATAATGACAATTATCATGTTTAATACTGATATTGAAATCTAGGTTACCACAATTTGAGATCTAGCTTAAAATAATGTTTCTTATAACTTGAAATGAGGTCTGAAGAACTATACTGATCATTAAATCTGTAACATTAATGTACACATTCACACAATATGACCATCCCAGTTTTATCTTTATGCAAATATCCATGCACCAAACCTTTACCGGGGACCATAATCAACACCTGGCACAGAGACCTCAGTAAAGAAATGTTCAACATGAAAGTGTACTTTTTCTGTCCAGCTCGTACCTTGAGAAAAACTTTTCTAGTTTTAACCAAAGCTGGGGGCAGTGATACATAGTAAATTCTGATTACTGCTGGATAAAAAACATTACTGAATTGACATTCTCTCTAATAACGAAGTGGTACCCTGTCTCCTTAAAAAATAAACTTTAATCTGGACTGATACCATTTTAAAATTTTAAAATATATATATGCTCAATATTTGTATATTTTCATAATATCCATTTAACAAACAAGAAATAGTAATATTCCATATTTTTTTTATTAAATAAATTACAAACATACCACATTTATATTATTAAACACACAACCTGTAACAAGACACTCAATAAGCCCATATTCATCAATTTTTCCATTCTGTTGGCACACACATCTCATATCTCATACCTTCAAATTGAGTTAAATGCAGATCAAATTTATTTTAATGAAACTTCACAGCATTTAATCAGTTACTACAGGCTAATTATCATTACTGTGCATCTTGTGGATCTTTGTTTGAAGATTGCTCTTATTTCATTCGTGTAACATTTGAACAAAATTGATATGTGCCCATGCTATTCAGTAAGTTACAGGGTTAAAGTTACTATTTTAGGATACTGACTACCGCCTCACACAGGACCTAGGTTATACACCTGGATATTGCCAGCCCTTTATACATTTCAGAACGAAGCACTCTTTTCTTCACTCTATAGTAAAATGTTACAATCAACTAGTCCTGTTTTTGGGATCGAAATATTGAGACCTAGAGGCATTTAATAGAATAAATTTGGTAATTAAATCACATTGAAGTATTATCACAGTAGCACCTGGTTATTACAACCATATCACAGTACATCTTATTATCCTAGCATAACTATCTGATTAGGACAAATATAAAGCTGCAGACTCCTGGATAAATGTCTGTTATTGAGTGCTGCCTAGCTATTGACTAGAGTATTTATCCAGGATATATTATGATTTTTTTGTGTTCACAGCTTCTGTTTGTAAAATACTTGGATATGTAAATAGTACATCAACAAATGTCCTTCACAACCGATGCATCATTCTATCACAGAATTTTTCCGGAGTTTCTTCAGAGACACATCATCTAATCCCAGCATGCCCTGTAACACAACATTTGTGTGTTGTCCCAGGGTGGGTGGAGCCGAGGCCTGAGGGCGTTCGTACTGGCTGTACCGGACGGCTGGACCTGATCAGGAGGAAAAAAGAGAGTATTAACAATAAAATACAGTACTGCGGAGCATATACTTTGTGAAGGTTTAAGTTGTACTGCATTTATGTCTTAAAATTAATCTACCAAATAAAATTCCCACTAATTAGAAGCCATTCTGATTTAAAACTACTGATTATAAATGGTGTTGGTTTCCATCTCATACAGAGCTAGGAGTAATGAATATAATAAACACATAAGATTTGTAACAGAAACAAATCAGATTGACCTTGGTCCTTAGATCTTAACTGTCAACTTTAACTTAATTATTAACAGTCAGATAACTTTAGACTCCACTTGTCACATTAACCTTAGACCTTACCTGTCAGTTTTACATTAACTTACCAATCTGTTAAACCTGATCTAACTTGTAAGAGTGACCTGACCTTTCCTGTCAGTTTGATCTGATCATACCTGTCAAATATACCTGACCTTACCTGTGTGATTGACCTGACTTTACTTGTCAGATTGACCTGACTATACTATCAGTTTTACATGATCATACCTGTCAATTTTACCTAACCTTACCTGACTATACTATCAGTTTTATATGATCATACCTGTCAATTTTACCTAACCTTACATGACTATACTATCAGTTTTACATGATCATACCTGTCAATTTTACCTAACCTTACCTAACTATACTATCAGTTTTACATGATCATACCTGTCAAATTTACCTGACCATACCTGTGTGATTGACCTGACTTGACTTGTCAGATTGACCTGACTATATTATCAGTTTTACATGATCATACCTGTCAATTTTACCTGACCTGACCTGATTATACTATCAGTTTTACATGATCATACCTGTCAAATTTACCTGACCTTACCTGTGTGATTGACCTGACTTTACTTGTCAGATTGACCTGACTATGCTATCAGTTTTACCTGACCATATATGTCAGTTTTAACTGACCATACCTATCAGATTGACCTAGGTAACCTTACCTAGTATGTTGATTTGGTCATACCTGTCAATTTTACCTGACCATATATGTCAGTTTTAACTGACCATACCTATCAGATTGACCTAGGTAATCTTACCTAGTATGTTGATTTGGCCATACCTGTCAATTTTACCTGACCTTACCTGTCTGATTGACCTGACTATAATACCAGACTGACCTGGCATTACCTAATATGTTGATTTGGCCTTACCTGGAAGTTTTATCTGACCAGCTGTGGGGTGTTCCATTGTCTGGACCATCTGGTTGTGGAGAACCTATCGGTACAACAGTAAAACAAAAATAAACAAGAGGCCCAATGGGCCTGCATCGCTAACCTGGTATAAATCTCACACTTGTAACCTTAAAAGTGATCTAAAATAAAGCTACAGGCAAAATATCAGTATTTATGATTAAAATTCATTCAAAAGAACCTGTTATTTTTTTTAAAAACATTTCACTCCTGTGATTGAATGTCGAACAAAATCATCATGTTGAACAAATTTTATAGCCTTTCATCTCAGGATGCAACTTGCAAAGTTATAATGATCAACATCCTGGGACCCATGGATATTCAGAAGAGGTTGTTTACAGACTTTAAACAAATTTGACCCCAGTGACCTTGAATATAAATCAAAGTCATTCACTTTAACAAACATAGTAGTCCTTGATCCCAGGATGCTATTGACTAAATATCAACATCCTGAGCATTTTGGTTATTCAGAACAAGTTGTTTAAATATTTTGAACATATTTGCTCCTTGTGACCTTGAATATGATTCAAGGTCAAACATTTAAACAAACTTGGTAGCCCTTGATCCTAGTATGCTACTGACTAAATATCATCACCCTGGGCATTTTGGTTATTGAGAAGAAGTTGTTTAAAGTTTTTAACATATTTGACCCCTGTGACCTTGAATATGGGTGAAGGTCGTTGATTTGAACAAACTTGGTAGCCCTTCATCTCAGCATGCTACTGGCCAAATATCATCACCCTGTGCATTTTGGTGATTCAGAAGTTGTTTAATGTTTTTAACATATTTGACCCCTGTGACCTTGAATGTAGGTGAAGGCCATTCATTTGAACAACTTGATAGCCCTTTACCCCAGCATACTACTGGCCAAATATATCATCACCCTGGGCATTTTGGTTATTGAGAAGAAGCTGTTTTGAAGTTTTTAACATATTTGACCCCTGTGACCTTGAATATGGGTGAAGGTCATTCATTTGAACAAACTTCATAGCCGTTTACACCAGCATGCTACTGGCCAAATATCATCACCCTGGGCATTTTGGTTATTGAGAAGAAGTTGTTTAAAATATCATCACCCTAGGCCTTTCGGTTATTAAGAAGAAGTCGTTTAAAGTAAAATATTGACGCCGGACGGACGGACGCCGGACGCCGCGCCACGGCATAAGCTCACTTGGCACTTCGTACCAGGTGAGCTAATAAACATCACAGAATTAAATACACCAATCTCACACAGGTGCTGGTACCTGTCAAATTCTGTTATAATTGAATAATCTGGTATGCTGCGATGCCCTCACTTATGGTAGAACCCAGTATTTCTGATTAATGTAAAATTGAATATACCTGTACTACCTGTTTGCTAGAATAGACATTTGACCACAATAATGTACTTCAAACCTGTAAGCCAGAATCGAACTTATAACCCTTAAGAGTACTCCACAAATGTAGGCCAGCCTTTCCCCTTAAAGTAATTACATGTAGGCTAACCTTCATTCTAACTCTTGTAAACACTATAAACCTGTAGGCCAGACTTGACCTAGAGCTCGGACCCCTTCAATAACTATAAACATGTCGGCCAGATTTGACCTCAGACCCTTTGAGGAACCACATAATGCAGGTCAGACTTGACCTCTGAACCCTTCAGGTACTAAATACATGGAGGTCAGACTTGACCTCGGACCCCTTAAGGAACTACATAATGTAGGTCAGACTTGACCTCAGACCCTTTAAGGAACTATACATACATGTAGGTCAGACTTGACCTCTGAACCCTTCAGGTGCTAAATACATGTAAGTCAGACTTGACCTCGGACCCCTTACGGAACTACATACACGTAGGTCAGAGTTGACCTTCGAACCCATAGGGTACTATACATAATGACCAGGTTTGACCCTATAAGTAGGACACACCTGTACGTCTGTAAATGAATACACACCTGTGGATCAGAAAAGACATTCTCCATATTGTTGATGGGTCCATATGGTAAACCTGATCCATCAAATACAACAAGCCATTCTTCTGTGGTTTTGCTCAGGAACCTGGTTGTAACAAATGAAATACTTTCAGAATAATTTATACAATTATCTTCTCCCTTTGATTAAATACATTTAAATTTGATAAAAGCCTTCCTGACAACGAGGACTTTATTTCGTGAACTACACTTGTAGGTATTTTTATTTTATAGCACTGAGAGATGTTATTTCAATATTGAATGTCATATTTTGATGAAATGAATATTCACATTATTTTTGGATTTTATAATTTGAGTCTCTTTTTGAATAAATACATTGTAAATGTGAAAACTAAGATGTGTATATTGCAAAAATCAAGTGATATTGGATCACTTTTATCAAAGAATTTAATAGACTTGACCTCTTTCCAAATTCCATCTGAAATTATCTTTCAATGAAATGTTCATGAAATTACTAAATAGTTCAGAAAATTGTGCAAGATGGAAGCATAAATATACATACAGATTGAGCCATCAATTAAGACACACTATTGAATTTTCTAGTAGATATATGTTTGTTCATCAAGCAAGGGTGAAGTGCAGACTTGTGGAGTTACAGACGCAGCGCTCAGAAGTAATTTCTGGTGAGACGCAGGAGGACCCCAGCCAGGAGGCACCCCATAGTGTCAGGGACCTCTCTGCTTCGGTTTCTTCACGGGTCAGCCATTCAGACTTGAGTGATACAAACCACAACCAGGGCGTTCAAGCAAATCCAACACAGCCAGCACGTAGGTTGAGGATAGAGTGGCCAAAGATGGACAACAATGAAGCTTGGAGAAGCTTAGACGCTGACTTAGATACCATCCTAGAGTCGGCTCTAATGGGAAGCTTAGACAGGAAGGTTGAGGCAATGGGAACTATCATCTACACATTCTGCAAGGAACAATTTGGAGTAGGAGGAAAGCAGAGAAATCCTAAGAACGTAATTATCCCGAATAGAAGACAGGATACCATCCAACGACTCAGACGAGAACAGAAAGCAGTCACACAACAGTACAGGAGGGCAAGTGATATAGAGAGGATAGGATTACATCAGCTGCGGGACGACATCAGGGAGAACTTGGCAAGACTCAGGAAAGCAGAGCAGGTTAAGAAGGCAAGGAAGGATAGAGCAAGGAAGAGAGGGTCCTTTATCAAGGACCCTTATTCGTTTACAAAGACTCTGCTGGGAGGGGAAAGATCAGGCCGTTTGGATAGTTCAACAGCAGATATTGAGCAACACCTGAGGGAACCGCACGGAGATGAAGATAGGGGCATTCCACTTGGGAACTGTCCACGGATAGAAGCTGAGGAGCCGCCAGAGTTTCCGCTTGACACCAAGGAACCAACTTGGAAGGAGATCCAAGATGTTGTTGAGAAGGCAAGAACTGGTTCAGCTCCAGGCCCTGGCAAATGCATATGGATCAATACCACATCAGCTGATTGAAGTATCCATACAACATTACTTTATCCCAGAGCATATACAGGGAATAGTACGAAGCTACTTCAGTGGAATCCACGTGCGTTTTACTGTCGGGGAGGATACAACATCCTGGCAAAACATGGAATAGTGACAGGATGTACCATTCAGTCATTCTATTTGTCATGGGGATGAATCTTATCATCAAGGCAGCAGGATGGGAAACCAGGGGTCCCAGGACAGAATCAGGAATCTAACAACCATCGAATCGAGGTTTTATGGATGACCTGACTGTGACTACCACCACACATGTCCAAGCAAGATGGATTCTGTCTGCATTGGAGGAGGTAGTCTCATGGGCGAGGATGAAATTCAAGGCAAGAAAATCAAGGTGCATGATAATGAGGAAGGGACGACTGACACAACAGTTCAAGCTAAAAGTAGTACAAGGAGAAGAGATCACATCAATTGCAGACAACCCAATCAAGTGCCTAGGAAAGTGGTTTGATGCATCACTGAAAGATACCAGCAACATCAGCAGCATGCAGAAGCAGGCAATTGAGTGGATGAGGAAGATTGACAAGTCAGGCCTGCCAGGAAAGTGCAAGGCATGGATCTTCCAAAATGGACTGCTGCCGAGACTCATGTGGCCCCTGATGCTATATGAGTTTCCTTTGACAACAGTGGAAGGACTGGAAAGATCCATCAGCAGCTACCGGAGGAGGTTGCTTGGAGTCCCGCCCAGTTTCTCCAGCATTGGGCTCTACAGCCGGACATCATCACTGCAACTCCCACTGTCATCGTTGGTGGAGGAGTTCAAGGTAACAAAGGCCAGACTAGTGATGACGCTGCGAGATTCAAAGGACGAGAAGATAAGAAACGCAGGAATCCAGACTAGGACAGGAAGGAAATGGTCTGGAAGCCAGTCTGTGGAGCAGGCCGAGGGCGCTCTCAAGAACCGGGACATTGTCGGAGCAACCTGCTAAGGCCGGCAAGGGTTGCGGACAACCCATTTTCAGACGTGGGAAGGATCAGATGATAAGGAGAAAAGGTCTCTGGTACAGGGAGAAATCCGCAGAGAAGAAGAAGGGACCAGGAAAGCAAGGGCAGTGGAAATGGGCTCTCAAGGAGCATGGACGAAATGGAAGCTGCCGGAGCGAAAACTTACATGGACAGACCTGTCGCGCTATGAACTATTGAGGATCCTGTTGCGGTCGGTATATAACACTTTACCGTCACCAGCGAACCTTCATCTGTGGGGACTAGTTGAAGAGCCGAAGTGTCAGCTATGTCAAGAACGTGGGACCATGGACCATATCCTTTCGGCATGCAAGACAGCGCTAACACAGGGACGATACCGGTGGAGACATGACCAGGTGCTTCGGAAATTGGCAGATGTTCATGAGGTGGAAAGGAAGAAGAAGAGACCACCTCGTAAGCACAAACCATCCTTCATCCAATTTGTAAAGCAGGGGAGAAGGAGACGAAAGCAACATCAGGCAACACTGGCATTCTGGAAGGGGCAGAGACATGGGAGATGAGAGTCGACCTGGGGAAGAAATTGGTGTTTCCGGACGTCGTACAGACAACGTTACGTCCGGATGTGGGGATATGGTCTGCCGAATCCAGGCAGATTATAGTCATCGAGCTGACTGTGCCCTGGGAGGAGCGGTACGACCAGGCCAATGAGAGAAAGAGATCCAAGTATATGGAGCTCATGGAACAATGTAGGGAGCGAGGGTGGCGTACTTGGCTGTTTCCTGTGGAGGTCGGATGCAGAGGGTTCCCGGCACACTCAGACTGGAAGACATTGCAGGCTGTGGGATTAGTCGGAAAGACATGCAACACGGCGGTGCACAGGCTAGCAGAGGTTGCCGAGCGCGCATCATGCTGGTTGTGGAACAGACAGGAGGAGAAAGACTGGAAGCCATCCATTGACGGGCAGTGAGTTGATCGCCACTGTCGACCCACCATCACGAGGACATTCTGGGACAAGGATTGAAACGTCTAGAGACTGATGGACCCGGCTGATGATGTCAATGGATTCGCAGTATTTCACCAACTGTATAGGTACATACGGATGAGTACAAATCTCGTCCACTAATTCCTTGATCTCTTTATGTGTATATTATATGGGGCTGAAAAGAGGAATTAACATACTTCTTCCTGTTTAAGTAAATTGATATTTTTGCCATCATAGCAGCGAATATCTTTGGTGTAAATTAGTTGTTATGAAAGTTTTAAAAAGAGGGCTGACAGGACCTGTATAAAAAGCTGATGGGTTATCCCATATCTTACTTACTTGTCTGACAACATAGCTAGCAGCTCCTCTCTATTATTCACACGACTTTCATTACTAACAAACTTAACATCATCTGACAGGTGATCAAGTTCCAGCATCTGGAAGTATTAAAAAACCTTCCATCACCTACGGTTTTCATGAAGAGAGCTGATTCAGTCAGATTCATAAAATTCAAATGACAAGAATTCCACGGGAGTGAATGTGTCGCCTGCTCAGCGCTTTTAGTAAGAAAAGTGTTTTGGCTTGAATTATCGCGTAAACAGATATGCCAAAATGCGAAAAGTTGAAACTCCAAAGAAAAACCTGTAATGTATGTTGAACATTATTGCTTCTAGCATTACCTTACAAAATTTGAAAGGAATTGATTACAAAAATAAAAAAGTTCTTGCATTTACTACACAATGCCCTTATTTGGCAATAAAAGGGGCATAACTCCACAAAAATGCATATAAACTTCTGAAATGCAAACTTGTCCGAGCTACATTGGTATGCAATATGTGTACTAAGTTTGAGTTTAATCAACCCAAGGAAACTTAAGTTATCGCACGGAAACTTGTTTTGGACGACGCAACCAACGACAAGTTAGTAATACCTATATGTCGCCTCGCGTTGCAGACGACACAAAAAGGGGATGAGTTTCAGTTTCTATTTATCACATATTCAAAATATGTACATTTGCACATTGTGTAAATGTCAAGACTGTAAAAACAATGGAAAACACACCAGTTTTAGATTGTTGTGAATTGTTCACATGATGGTGACATTACAAAATCAGTGTGAGTATATGATCCATCGATATCTTACAATCTATCATCATATCAAAACATTTCTCTTTCATATCAAAACATTTCTCCTTCATATCAAAACATTTCTATTTGATATCAAAACATTTCTATTTCATATCAAAACATTTCTCCTTCATATCAAAACATTTCTATTTCATATCAAAACATTTCTATTTCATATAAAAAAAATCTATTTCATATCAAAACATTTCTATTTCATATCAAAACATTTTCTATTTCATATCAAAACATTTCTCCTTAAGCAACTTGGAACAAATTTGATCAAAAATGCAAATAGGATTTAAAAAAAAAAAAATCATAGTTGTGAATCTGCTGATCAAAGGATGGGCTTATTACTGACCATGGTCGTATCACTGGTAATTACAGTATACTACCTGACAAAGGGAGGAGAACTGTTGGTTGTTACAACCTCCCACCATGATATAGCTGTCCCTCGTCTGGAATGCCTGTTCATAATAATAGTATTTACTGAGGGTTACATATCTATTATACAGTCATACTCCATATGTCCCTTATAAACAACCAATAGAACCTCCAATACATGTGAAACACTTAAAATTACAAATAACGGTACATTTTATAACAAATGCTATCATTATCTTCAATCAGATTCATCAGTTTGGAAATACATAATATCAAAGTTTTATGCTATACACAAACAATGTACATATTAAACAGGTTGCAACGTTCAAGACCAACTGACCCCTTTGTCAAGCTATGACTGAGTGAGCAATCTATTTAACCAAAATGTGGCCTGGCTGTAGATAACTCCATATTTTTGATAAGATTCATCAGTATGAAAATACATGTATGTAATACATGTATCACTGAATTATATTATCAAAGTCTGTGGTAATATTAATTCAAACAATGTACATATTAAACATTTCAAGACCCACCGGTCCATATATCAAATGTTATCAGCTAATACACTGTTGGTATCACAATGTCTATTCATTTTATTCAGAATAGCTGGAGATACGCTGGCTAAAATACAACACAAAACCCAACAATTAAATTATAATACTGATACATGTATACTAAAATATAAGCTTTAATATAATTGACAGATTATGCGATGGAGAAAAATGCTGACAATATTTAATTGATTGGAACCATTTGTGTAATCTGTTTTTTGACCTTGGTGATAATATAGTTCTATTACAAAAGAAAAATGAAAGAAAATGCAAATAATTTAAATCACATCTTCACTGAAGTTGACAATACATAAAAGATAACATCACAGTCACTCCCCAACATATTGTACCAACATTTATCTTACATAGCAATGACCTTCCAATATACGGAGATCACTATACAATTCTACCTAACACCTGAACAGGTGATAGGTTAACAGGTGTAACAGTTAATCTTTTGTTTAACCACACACCTGATTGGTTAACAGGTGCAATCGTTAATCTTTTGTTTAACCACACACCTGATAGGTTAACAGGTGTAAAAGTTAATCTTTTGTTTAACCACACACCTGGTAGGTTAACAGGCCCCGGAATCTCGAAACTTCTTCAACCCATTCTTAGTGCTTAACTTTAAGCATATGCTTAACTTTAAGCATATACTTAAAAAAGTGCATCTCAAAGGTTTTTAAACCATTCTCAATTCTTAACTTTATGCATATGCTTAACTTTAAGCATATACTTAAAAAAAGTGTATCTCAAAGGTTTTTAAGTATGCATTCTCAAATTTTAAGTTGAGAACGGGCTCAATATTTGAGAATAGTAAGGAGCATGCTTAAATATTTAAGAACGTGCTTAAATACACATATTGGCCAACTGTAATTGTCTTTTAAGTCATGAAATTCAGCCGCCAGAAATGAGAAAGGAGACGAAAGGCACATTGTTTATCGTTATTTTTCATTTATTTATTTATTTATTCATAATTAGCCAACACTTTGGATATAATTAGAAAACCAGCATTTGGGCCATTCAATACAGTCTTCTATCACAACAAGCGCGTAGCTAGCCCCTTTACCATGTGTAAGCCCCGTGGGATTGCCGAAGGCCCCCCCCCCCCCCCCCCCCC